CTCCTCAGTATCAAATGGAAAGAACCGAAGTGCAAAGGCTATAGGTAGCAGTAAGATTCTTCATATTTCAGTCATGCAGACAAGGTCGAGCCTCAAATACTCATGAAGAAACAAGAGACTGTCTTCATCTTTACTGTAGTCGTTGAAAGCATCGCATGCGTACGAATGGTCAATAAATAGTCTTATTCTAGTCGCATTTACAACGTTCCATCATCACCTGGGGAGGAGAGGAAGCCTTTATAGACAGCAGCGATTGTTATCATTTGGTTAGGTTCCTGGATACCATAACTTATGTGGTATCAAATACACCTATTGTTAATTAATATCTAGACTGGTTGAACGGAAGTTGGTCACTTTACCTGACAGTATCTGGGTAAGTTATAACTTAATCCAAGTGGTGATAAACTACTGTTTATATACCTGTCATGGTCATATAGTCTCTTCCAGGTACTTCGAAAAAATCCCTTTCTCTACTACCAGCACCGGTCAACACAGCTCTCGCCTTCCCTGCAAACACACGCTACAAACCCCACTCATACTGTGTAATATACTCCACGATCCACAATAAATCCGTAGCATAACATCAACGTAAGCCATAGATATAAATTGCGCCGCCTGATACCTATAAAACGTACGCTGCAACATCACCTTTGGCAACTCAAATAATGCATTACTATCCAGATTCAGCACACCCTACCACTTCTTCCAAATCCCGTCAACTGATCCATCCGCGGAATCACCAAAGAAAAAAAAACCGCATTTTGCAATCCACCATCATGAACCACTCCCCAATAAAACCGCTAATCTGCTCGTCAGGCCTAATGCTTCCACAGTGTGCCGGTGCTTGCCGTCAATGAAGGCCTCAACTGGCTGCCAAGGCTGCTGGCCCACAAAGCCAGGCTCTGGAGCCAGGCCTTTGGTGCTGTCTGACGTAGAGTAAGCGCGGCGGCTGTCAAGGAGCTATCGGCCGAGGATGTGGAGGCCGTCGGCATGGTTTTCATGGCTGAGGGGTGACCCCAATAATGGGCTGTAGGTCGTATAGTTGCAGGAAGGAACCCCCAAAGCAGCGGAGCATTAAGGTCGTAGTACGGCAGTTGAAGCCCCTTTCCTCTCACTTGGATTTCCGTCGAAGATCCATTCGATCCCGGTCGGCCAGGAAGCGGATGCCCATTAATCCGTTTCATTGACGGGGCGGAGATGATGCGTCTGACTGAGATGAACCTATGAAAGGCGGGTATTATGGGGTTTGTTTCGGAGTCTGAAAGCTCATAAAGGGTGGAAACGAAGGCAAATTGCCCAATATTGGGAGAGGTCTATTCTATCTCGGTTCCTGGAGACTGTCAGTTGCGGGATCCCTTTCGCTCGTTCCATACTATTTCTTCAGGGTCACTGGGTGGAGCTATCACCACCTCATGAGCCTGATCGCATTCTTGTTCGCGCGCCGGAAGGTCGACTCCCCGCGCTGCGCGATGGCAAAGGTCGCACCAGAGAATCTGTACTATATCTTGATAGTGTGCCGCTCGTATAATGTGATACGATGCTCGATCTGGGGGCATGATGCCAATTCGTTGCCGTGCAACCTGAAGGAGGCGTAGGTGGAAAGGCAAGCACGCAGCACGATCGGCGAAGCTCTTGCCTCAAATCGAGCGTCTGCTCTACTTACTGGCGCTGATGCCGCCTTAGGCACGCAGTAGGGATAAGGGATACTGATACCGTCCAAGCAATGGGACGATCTCCGAGTGGATTTGTGCGAGAAAGAAGCAGATATAGCATGCCCATGATTGGCGGGCGCTTGCACAGTACTAGTACGTAGGTGAGCGGAAGTTGTTCTTCCCGCCGCTGACTCAACGTAATATTATTGTTTCTCCACCTACCGTAAACCTCCAAATTCGAAGCTGAGCTTGTGGATGCCAGAGAAGGATATACAGGGTCCAGGACTCTAGATTACATTCACAACACATCTTACGAAGCTACGGAATAGGAAGGATAGAGAGGGCCGCAAATGAGGCCTGCGGGGGCCCGGTACGGCCATGTGAGATTTCAACCAGGCAGGGAACAGGAGTGAGTGCTTTCTCGTGCGGAGGCTCATGTGGGGAAGAGCGTGGACAGGAAAAGGTGATCCCATGGGAGGATGCTCTCGCAAAGTTGCCTACAAGGCATCTGGGTAACTACTACTTAGTAGTGTAGTAGTACCAAATGTTGGCCACTAGCGTTCTGATTGGTTCTGGGTGGTCAGTGAGATTCTGGAGATAGCTTCATGTTTGGCTTACCGTGTCTGACCGATACTACCGAACAGAAATAGGTTACAAAGGTCCCACATGTAGCAGATCTCAGAGCCTGGCCGCTCTCTGGCCACAGGTGTTTTGGCCAAAGTGCCCTAGCCACGCTATAGCAGAGTATGGCGACAATCAATCAACAAATTAGATCAACGTATGGTGATGTGTAATTTGTTCGTATGATTCGATGTCTCAGATAATGTTGAATACTGTGCTCTTTTATTCTCCTCATCTTTCAGAAACTCTGTGTCATAGCATACCTCCCACATTATACCACGTTCTACATTCCTCTAGAACTATATTTCAGTCTTCTCATGCACAGCGCATCTTTTAGTACTCCCGAATCATCAAGCCGGCTGTGACTCCAAACGTTTGCAAATAAATGCATCCTAAGCTCGACGGATGTGGACAGCAAGTTTGCTTGGGTGATAGTATTGGCCGTATCCTAGAAAAAACATATAACTAAGAAATTTGAATATCCTCACCTGCTCGTTCATACTTGCTATACAGACAGTCTAGAGCCATGGCATCTCCCTTGCCTACTTTACCTCACATCACAGATGCGCCGGGACTCGCACTCTCCAGTATACTCTTTATGAGCCTCAATTTCACAGATATTGTTTATCTCCCGGGCAGTTACTATTCTTCATTGCTTCATGGGCTTGAGGGTCACCATGACATTGGGTGCCTGGTCGGGACCACCTCAAGAGGCTGTCGAATATGGTGATTATACCAACTAAGCCAAGGAGTATGTTTTGGCTGTGGTCTAGGAGTGCAGCCCCTCTCAATGACCTACCTCACCCAAAGCTGGTTCAGTCGTCGTCGAAGGCTCTCAGACGACACTGTGACCGGTGATAGGGGAAGACGAGGTCTAACATATTCCCTTTTACAGATGCTCTGCTCCCAAGGTCGGCCTGGGTTGGTCCGACCCTGTTCTCGCAGTTCGCCAGCTTGTCATCCACGTCATCTGCAATCACGAAGCGGCAGCAGTACTCCCTCCCTCAATCCATATCAACTTCCGTCTTTGTACCCGGTATAAACTGTAGTTTTACCTCGGCTGGAGCTTTTTCGGCGTCGTGGCGTTCAGGTTATCTGGCTTTAATTGACCAACTTACCGGCGCAGTGTCGGGTTGACCTCAGGTCAAAGGTATCCTCTCACGAGAGTCCTGAATGTTCGCCAGATGGTTATACGCCCGGTCTTGACATCATGTCGGATGCCATGAGTTGTATTAATATCGTGACTTTTGCATCTTTCGTCATGGTCTCGCTCTTTTCGTTTCTCTGGATGTTTCCTCGCACCTACGCTGTTATAATTTGCCCCACTTGTTGGCGGGTGTTTTCTGCCGCACAGTTTGGACGGTATGCCATGCCTTTGTTGCTCTCCCTCCTTGCTTTGTCCTCTGCGCCGATGATAATGTGAAGTGAGCCAGGCTACAGGTGGTTGACGACCTTGAAGCAGAAGTGGTGGCCTTAGAAGCTTTATAGTCAGGTTTGACCATCATGTAGATGATTTGCTCAGTTCCCGCAACGTGTGAGCCTTTCCTTTACTCTGCGCACTACCATTGTTCCTCCCATAATATACGAAGACAAGCCTCGAAATACGAATGAAAAGGAGAAAGACAATATAATATGGCATCGAACTTGATCTGCGAGCCTCTGGGAGGCATTAATCCCTTCACAGGCAGCTATGCACGAGATTTATGTGCTTTGACGCTTTAGTACACTTTGGTCTTCCTCCGCCGGTGGAGCGAAGTCTGCAGATTGCACCAGCAACAGGAAGGCATCGCAACGGCATGTGCCGCATCAGAGGAGTATGTGTACTCCGTTACCACGCAGCCAAAGGCCTGACTCCATAACCGACTAAAATCGGGGTACAGATATTCATAGGTATAGAGTGTTATCATTGGAATGTACTGGCTTCGTCTTCCATAAAGTGGCCTGCCTATTGCCATGAGTATCGTCTGTATCGGTGGGTCGTGTCGACGGGGCCTTCATCATTTGGAAAATTCCTAGCTAGGCAATTGAAGTTTAGGTAGAGAAACTTATGCCGGTCTCAGGTGACCAGTCCTCTGATTTCCAGCTTTTATCTTCGTCAACAGTATACGGGTACTTTTTGAGTTGGCGGAGAAGGCCGGTCCACAGCAGTAGCCAGCATGTAAGCCATATTCATGTGCGATGCCTGATCGTTGTGGGATGTCCCCGCTCCTGCCTAAGCAACGTTGCAGGCCGTGAAACAGTTTGTAATCTGATACGGAGTCGGTGGTCTCTTACTGAGAGATATGTCATGAGAACAGGGCCGCTGCGGATCTGCTTGACGCATCAATGCCTCCTTCTTTTCAATGTCATCATGGCCGATTATGGTGACGTGGGCCTGCTTTCAACCTTGAAAACCTTCCACCCCTTCAGACTGGCTCGAACTCTTCTACATGATATATCGATCTGCTCGGCAATCTAAACATAGCGTCTAAAGCCCAGTAGGCTTGGTAGGGTAAATTGCGGGAGATTGGGTCTAGGTTAGCTACTAATGTAGTCGCTATTTCCTCTACTCACCTTAGATGCCTGCTCCTTCCAAGTAGAACAAACATGAACAACTATATTTATATAGTGACAGCCCATGTAGCGATTTGTTTTCCAATATCGTACCTTGTCCGCCTCCCTCCCCCCGTCCCTGCAATCATCACTTTTTTTTTACACTTCGTGAACACCAGCACCAGCACCAGCACCATGACCACCATCACCACCACCATCACCACCATCATCACCACCATCATCACCACCATCATCACCACCATCATCACCACCATCATCACCACCATCATCACCACCACCATCACCACCACCATCACCACCACCGCCACCGCCACCGTCCTCCTCCCTGGTCCGGCGGCCACCCCCCCTTCGTCCTTGTCGGTCCTGGGTGCCTCCGTCGCCTTCCCCGGCGGCGCCAGGGACCCCTGGGTTACTGCCCAGGCTATGTGCCTGGTCATCGTTGTTCTTTCGTTTGGGTTTCTTGTTGCGGCTGGGGGGTACTCTATGGCCACCCAATGGTCCAGGTTCCGGTATGTGTACAACCATATGTTATGATTAGGGCATGATACCAACCAGCAATGTGAAGCTGGCCCCATACCGGCAGGTATACGCCGATGACTGTGGAGGAGGCCTGGGTGGTCAGGCACGATCATAAGCCGAGTGAGTCTATCTGCACAAGAACCAAGGATAAACTAGCGAACTTTATACTCATATTGAAACTTAGACACCCAGGCCTCCTCCACCCCCGCCGCCGCCTCGTCGTCCTCCGCCCTGGGTCCCTCCTCCTCCACCCCTGCGCCCCCCTCGTCCTCCGCCCAGGATCCCTCCTCCTCCACCCCTGCGCCCCCCTCGTCCCGGGCCTCCGCCGCTCCCTCCTCCGTCCCCCCCTCCGATGCCACCTCCGTCAGCTCCCCCCAGCCTGGCGTCATGTTCTGCGCCATCCCACCCCAAGCCTCGCCCCCCTCCATCCCAGCCCTTCTCCCCCCACCAGCCATCCAACAGAGCCGCCCCCAGCTCCTAAGACGCGTCTCCTCACTTACCCTCCCCAAGGGAGCATACGTGTCGCCCTCCGTCCCCGGTCATTAGTTTTCTGTCTGCGTTCGGTGCTCTTCCATTTCCTTGTGTTTATTCTGCCTGTTTGTGGATTTGTGGGTGTTTTTGTTCGTTTCTCCATCTCGGTTATACTTATTTCTTTTGTACGAGATGGGCGTCTACGTGACGCTGTATATCTTATCTGTATAGATTAGATTGTATTTTATATAAGCTTAAGCTATACCCAGCCAAAATTGACTGAATTAATGGTGCGAGGACTGCTACCAACAACAGTAGAATGACGATCCTACTGCTTGAGCTTAGGATCAAGGACGGTGGTCGTTGTGGAGTAGTGCAGGACTGTGTGGTATTTTCCAATCTCAATCTTTTTTATGTCATCGTGTTAGGCACAGAAATCTGATGCCCTCTAGGTAGAAGTTCTGGTGTTGGGCTAATGTGTAGGAAGGTTTTGAGGTGCTGTCGAGAAGGTGCCAGGTTATGAAGGCTGAAAGCACTGCCACATCATATCATAATGGCGTCTGCATAGAGCGCATAAATGCGTCAATTAGATCAGCAGTGGATGTGTTGTAAATCTCATAGTAGCACTAACTTGTTTGCGTGATCAAATAGACGCAGTAGTATATACCGTAGATATCGAGACCGACTGCAGATAAACGTCTGACTATGGCATATATTCTGCCTGTCAGCTATGGCGACCTTGCGGCTTTCCCTGTTTTGCCTGTGGCTAAGATCTAGTGTCAGCGACGAGTAACCGTTGGAACCAATTTCCGCCGACGTGCATCATCATTACCTATGCCAACGAATATAAATTTAAATTCCTGCTCTCTTCCATTCCAGTCTCTTTCTTCCTACCTTCTAGGTAGTCTCTCTATTATCCTGTGATACAAGAAAATGCCAGCCGATCAGACCATGAAAGCCAAAATGCCAGCCAATAAGTTGATGAAAGCAGAAATACCAGAAGCTCAGATCATCAAAGCAAGCAGCCCATCAACACTTAATCCGGCGTTCAGTCTGCCTTCATCCAAGATCCCCTGGCTACCTGATGATGTCCGAGTTTTCTTCACAGCCATGGCTTTGTTTGTTGTTTTGATGCTTGGACTTCAATGGGGCATGAAAGTTATAGCGTATCCAGTCCACCTCTACTACACATCGGCCCTTTTCTTTGAGTTTGAATGACTAATATGATCCCTAGGGGTGATGAACTGAGTCAACCCAACTGCATCAACTACAACCAACACGATTTCGGTCCGCTCTTAAGAGCTCTTCATGAGCATCATGGTCGTGTTAGACTCATATTTGGCTGAGCCTCGGGTGGTCCTACCTAGGTAAGCCATCTGGGACCAACGGAAGCCTAGCTCAAGGGTCGAGAAGAACCCATGGCACGAAGAGGTTTTCCTATATGTTGGTCCACAAAATGACAGGATGACGTGAAGGCTTCTATATTTTTGGGCAAGGGTCTACAATACTAGCTAAACTTCTTTTGTTGATGAGGTTATTCTTTCATCGTTACTATCGATTTGTTGCTACTCACAAGACCTCCCAGACGGTTTAAGTACTAGCTTTATTTGAATGAGTTCACTGGGGACCGCAAAGGTGTACTAGTAAGTGTCTCCATATTATGACTTAAAAATACATAGTATATTAGACAGACAACTGTTATCTCGGTGGAGAGACGCTTGGTGCTTTCTGGCACCCAATTCCCCTGAGTCCCAATTTTGAACAGGTCACTCATGGGTGAAACGTGATACTTCTTGAACTGCTTCATTTACCATGGCGCCAAGCACTGTGTAGTAAAGATCTGGTACCTGGATAACTATTGTTGGCAGCGCCAGAGTATAGCGCCGACGAAAGAGCGAGCCCTTTCTATTGCTGCTACCTTGAACCGTTTTGGTCTTGGCCGAGTGGTGATTTCCGCCTAACTTATTTCCGCCACGCGAGGATTGGATAGAACTCTACAATTGCATTTACCACGAATTCTTGAATTTTCGGGCTCTAGACCTCGCTTCATCTGCAGCTTTTGCTTTCTGTACCAGCGCACAAAGGACTTGAAACATGACTTCCGACGATCTAATTACTATTCATATATACGATAAGAAATACTATCATGAAAGAGTATACACAGATAAACAAAGACCGCCCATCCCACAACGCACACACAGACACACACAGACACAACAACAGACACAGAGACAGACAACAAAAAAAAAAAAAAAGAAAAGAAAAGAAAAGAAAAGAAAAGAAAAAGGAAAACGCCCCCAGGCTATTCAACGAGTTTTTCACCCTCAGGGGGCTCGGTAGTGGCGTCATACACTGAGACTTCGATGGTTAAAAATATACAGTCCATATCAGTACTCCATTAAATGCAGTAGTTCCCAGACTAGTATAGGACTATTTATCTCAGTACAATCTTACCGGGTTATCTGGGTCTTCTTAACAGTAGCTATAGTTAAAAGACTGAAATGATCTATTAATTATGAGGTCTCTATTTTATTAATAATATAATATATTCATACATACATAGCATAGAGCCAGGCGATTTCCAGTACGGCAGTCATAAAAGTAAAGATTATTATTTATATTAAAAGGAAGTTAATCCAACGCTGAATAGTATTTATTGATAATAGAACTAAAATAGAAATATTGAGCAGTTTACTGGGAAGGCAGGAAGAAGAGGCCCAGCAGGTAAGAGAAGAGACAAATTATATTAAGAGTGGAGCAACTATATAGTACCTACAACACTGATATTTTCAAGGCTGTATTGCTTTACGTGGAAGACAGGCTTCGACAGAAATCTCCATACATTTCACTGAGAGTAAGTGATCGTATCCCTGTTTCGCTATTTCTTTCTTGGGGCCCTAGTGAGGCCAAGATATATACCAAGTAATTAGTATCTGGCAGGCGACATGGGATTGTTTGATCTAGCATTACTAATATTGGGCACGAGTAATAGCACCAGCGGCGCGTCAGTAGCTAGGAGGTACCCACAGTAGCTTTAGATGTTGTAACCGCTTAAGCAGTACGGCCGTATGGATAGACTGCTAATACATCCTGCAGATCACAAGTGGTAGACCGATGACAACTTAGGTCAAAATGTGCCCCATGAGGCCGTCTAGGGCACTGCAGATTATATCTATGAAGTTTACACGTTATAAAATGGCTCTCATAAGAGCAGCGCCGGAAATCTTCACCATGTTGGCCTGTTTATCCAGCAAGTGATGTTGGAGAATTACCCTGGTGAGACGTTTCCTCTCATGGCACATTCAGAAACACGCTGGGGCGCTTTGAGCAACACGCAATGCACATCTCCGGTGAAAGAAAGTATAGTTCCTTCATTGTGTATACATTGTAGACTATAAATAGAGTTCGTCCGTCTCAGTCTAACAGAAAACATCGTTATATTTTAGAGTGGATGCGCCAGAGCATATGGGGAAACTTAGGCCCCATGACACGGGCACCTAAAAGACACCTCTCTCAACTTTTGGACAGTCGACCCCCAAAGGCTTTATTGATAGCAGCACAAGCCAGACTTAGCCAAGGGGGAGAAGTAGCGATAGACCAAGTCAAGGCACACCATCGACTAATAGCTGTCTCGCGGTCACAGGAACACACTTCCGGCCGGAATATGCCACCTCATTGCATTTTCAGACTTTCCAAGGCACCAATACGTAGAGAAGTATACAGCTTGCGTCTCATATCACTGGATCAATAACGTAACATAGTACAAGTTGAATCGAACTGAATTGAAATCTAAACACCCACCATGCCTGCATCAATGAGAATGGGTATGTCCTCTACCAACATGACGGTGCGCATGCCTACTCTTCACCCGTGGTGTAGTGTCACGACGGGAATTCGTCTTCTTTGTAACGCTAGATCCCACCCAAGCATTCCAGTTGGACAAGTCGCTCACACATGTCGCATTGATCGACTCGCCAGCCACACTGGCCAGCGTCTCTCCATCCCGAGTGATGCTAACAACCACCTTACCAGTCGCACTGCCATACTCCACGGCGCCATGATAGAGTCCCGCGCCGCTGTTCCGGCCGTGTCGGGCCCAAGTAGCGCCCAACGACTTTCCATCGACGGTGACAGTGACATTGGCATGCGAATGAAGCATCGCAGAGTAGAAGATCTTGTTCTCAGCTACTTCAGCAGGTGGGTACAGCGTCTGTCCCTCGCTCGCGGTATTACCCGTCGTACCTCCGGTGCCGCAGGCCTCAGAAGGGTTCGGTCGGTACCAGGTGACGATGCCTTCATCGCCGAGAGTAGCGTTTCCATTCACGTAAGTGTCAATAGCGAAGGGGAGGAGATCTCTCCATCCATCATGAGGCATGTTCTCGATGTAGTTAAGTGGTGCACCACCAGTGGTCATAAGACTAATCGCATCTTCGCGGATAGGTCCAATGTAGTGGCTCTCGCCGTAGTCGTTCCAGGTGAGGATCTCCACCCACTCCGGCTGCAGATCCCAGATCTGCTCCCAGCGATCGTGCCACAGGCTGTCGCCGCGCCAGAGCCAGTTCTTGCTGTATGAAGCGAGATTGGTGTAGAACCACGGGGAGGCAGGCATCATGTAGGGAATGTCGAGGTCGAGGTAAGTGAGATCGGTAGCATTGCTCATGTTGTTCGGGCCGGATGGCCAGGCACCCCAGCTGAAGAGACCATCGACAATACCTCCCCCACCAGCCTCATATGCGCCCTCTGCGCCGAGGGAGGACCAGTCCGGGACGAAGAAGCAGTCAACCTCGGACTTGATAGATTTCCAATCCGTCGCGTAGGCAGTACCTTCAAAGGTGGAGACGAACGCTTTTCCGTTATACTTGTAGTGGGCGGAGTTGGAAGCGTATTTCTGGAGGTAAGTGAGAATGTCGGATTCCGGCCAGGCACCGGTGCCTCCTTCGTAGTCGAAGGAAAAGAAAAGTTTGAAGCCGACTTTGTTGGCTGCTTCGAAGGCGAGAGCAGCTTGGGTTGCTGTGGACGAGTCGCCGTACCCCATGTTCAAGGCGAATGCGTCGATATGGGCCTCCTGGGCCAGTGTCATATCATCTTCCCAGTCGGCAAGGGTGTAGTTCCATGCGTTGCCGACAATGAAGTGGGCGAACACGGCGGCGCCCAGCGCCTGGTTGGCCCATAGGAGCCCGAGGAGGGCGATGGAGAACAAGTTCATCGCGAGAGGGCGTCTAGCCTGTCTGCACGAGTGGAATAGAATTGAAGGATAAAATGTGAACTGTAGTAGTTCGATAAAGGAGTGACTGTGGGCAGATAGCCCGGGTGGGTGGTGAAGGAAAGTGGGCGTGATGCTGGGACTGGTTCGGAGGCATTCGAGTCTTTATAAACGGCTGCCTTGTGCGAGCCAATCAATAAAATGGGCTTCGCGATGCAGGGCTGTGACCAATGGGAGGATTTTCTCTATCCCATCTGCAATATCAGGACAGACTAATGCAAGCCGTCAGGATGATTGTGGCATCTTACAGGCTGGTTGCCATCGGGCGGGGCGTTTGCTAGATCCATTGCTGATTGTACTTTCACCCATCGCGTGGGTCGATGTGAGGGCAATCAGGAACATTTTCTCCAGTCATGAGTCAGTCCATCGCATCCGAGGAAGCCTCGTGGGAAATTAGTAGTATGGCGTGTGTGTGATGGGTATTTTGGGCCCCATATTGTTGATAATTAAGATTGGAAATTCGGTTCTATGTAGTATGGTTCATTTCCCGACCAAAAAGTAGACAAAGGATCGGAAACAAAGAACAGAAGCTTATCAGGACGATGTGGTCAGTGCAATTTAATCGGAATGATCTCATTTACGGCTCGCCAATGAACGCCTTTAGCTTAGATCCTGGATGGATCCGAAGGTGCAACGGCGCAAGGCTGTTCACACCAATGGGCTGCGGCCATGCTTAGCGCTGACTCGGTGTTAGTGGGGGCCCCGAGACACCAAACACCAATGTTGATGCTGCGATAGCCCTGCAGCCAGGCGGATACTTGCATTGATTAACCACCATCCGGGCACACACCAATGAAATCGAACGGTGGCATGGGTATATGGGGCCGAAAATTCTACGATGAAACGAAGCTATCCAGGGGCTGGTGCAAACTGAAACAGGTTCACCTGGTCTCAAGTCACCAACAGCTGACCTGTCAGAAATTTGGCTCCACCACCCACACTGACCAGTTCATGTCGTGCAGCGCTTCTGACCGAGTGTTTGAAAAGGACGCAAGGTTGCTGTTAAAGGTCCGACTTGAATCCCTTCTTCATTTTCTCCCAAACGGCATCAGAGAGAAAACTTTGTTATATTAGTGTGTCGAGTTCACCATGATCTACAGCTTAATATTAATACAGCTTAATATAAGGCTGAATCCCAACACTTCGCCCCCAGCATCGACTCTTTGTCTCCATACCTCTCTCCGCTAGTCACGGCTAATTGGTTTGCCACCTGCCTGCGAATCTCCTTCATTAAACCACAGGAATATTTTCCTGGTCGCATACCAGCGATCCAACATCTTCCTTGCTCGATGTCTACTCCGTACTTCTCAAATCTAGGATGCGTTCGCTCACCGGGTCGACTTTCCGCGTATCCAGGGGCACCCGGTTACACCAACATATACATCCCTCTTCCCTGCTAGTGACTGACTCTAGATCACATTTTAATTTCGCTCTTATCTCAAAATACGTGTCCGCCTAAATTCACTATCCATGAGTCATATTGTTTGGTTTTACGGACGAACACGCAAGGAGCATAATTCTCTCAGCCTCGTAGTCTCTTGGTGCTTAATGGCTAGATACGTGCTGGGACTGCAAGCTAGAAACAGCGATACCCGACAGTCTTATGTCAGGCCATTAATCTACAGGGTAAAGAGGAAGTGGGATATTTTCTATTGTACCCCTATCAGCAGCAATCAGCAGCAGGGGCTGGTAAAATTCTACCTATTGATTCCGATCCCCTGGCTCGTTTTGATCGCAGCTCCTTACACTTTCTAGTTCTCGACCACACATACGTCAAAGCGACTACTTATACTCAACGGTCAACCACAAATACAAGAACTGTCTGTGATGACTTTAGCTAAGGGAGCTCGTCGGCAACCATATCTCCTTTTCTGGGGTGTATGCGAGAAATCTTCGTCTAGGGCTGCGTAAGCAGAGGCTCGAATGCAAACACCAGGGGAAGAAACCTTACGGAAGGACCAAGACCCTCAGAAGCTGTTCACGCAAGCCACTTTGAAGAATTCGTCTCCAAAAGTTATATATAGAGCGAGACAAATATACACATCTTCAATTGATAGATACATTGACCCATTCTGAAAATATACTCGGCCAGTCTGCACAATCACCAAGCAGGCTGTCTACACCCGATATCCCTGACGTAAACATATCCTGGCCATTTGACCCATTACCCAACCCTTCCAGGAACACATCACTCTGTTTCATAGCTTCCCAGAACTCTGACTCTCGGATGCTCCCATTTACCATCGGACAGCGGGTCGAAGGTGTAGGCGGACCAGCAGCCACATCCCGACAAATGTCCTCCCCTATAGAAGATTTCCCCCTACTGCCCATTGACATTGATGATGAAGACTCCCCGCTAGCCGGAGCATACGTTGACAAAACGATATCCAATACCGATTTGAACATGAAGAATACATCGGGTGTATCTCCGGTCTTTGTCACTGAAAGCCTTGACATTCGATGAGAAAGACTCTCGAGGTAGATTAACATGCTTGATCGTGTCCTGGTTCGGAAGTCGTTCCATGTTGGGCTCATTTGGGCAGGGGATAAGAAACAGATATGTGAAGATGCGCTGATGGTTAGAATCAACTGGCACCAGTCTCGAATTGAGAAGGATATGTATTGATCCTGTGGGATGGAAAGGAAGTATTCGAAGAATGACCGGATTTCTGTGACGCAGGAAGTGGCTTGGTCGAATAAGTGTTCGTGGTTGGGTATGTTGCTTGATCTAGGATCGAGGATTCGGAAAGGTAGAAGTGCGATGTGCACTTTCAGTGATAACATGAAAAGACGTAGAGGGACAGTAGGTATGTTAGTACACAGTGGCTGGGATAGGTTGATGTACATACTGCTGTTGGCATCATGGACTCGTTCAAATATCTGTAGCTCCAGGCGAAGAGATTCCATTTTCTCTTCAATTCTTTGCGTCTTGATGATCGGACATTTCATCGAGCTACATTCGAATTGGCATCGTATGATCTCCTCAAATAGGACGTGAAGTTCAGACAATTGGAACCTCTCATCATACGGCTGCTTTAGTCGCTTATTGGCATCCACCGCTTCTTTGAGATACTTATACGCCCCATCATCACCACGCCGGCGGAAGCCAACAGACGGTCTGTATAGTTTGTTAGACACTTAACCCAAATCATCCGGGAAAGACTCACAGAGACGAAAGACTAAAACACCCAAGGCAGACATCTCGGGCAGCCTTGTCATGCATGTTGTCCGTAAGCTTCAGGTCAATTATCATGGTCACAAGTATCTGCATAAATTGCGAGCCCTGGCGACTGAGGGGTCGGATATGTAAGGGACGCCTAGATCATCACTGTTAATACCAGTCACTACACATGATTATGTAGCATACCATGCCATATAAACCAGTAGACCTTGAACATAATCCATGCTCTTTTCCCCATAGAATATTATCCGCTCACTTAACACACGACGAAAACGTTCATCCAGCCTCTTTTGCAAAAGTGGCTTTCGCGTCAAGGACACAGTCAGAATAGCCAGTAATAAGAAGGGTTGCGATGCTGCCATTGATGCTGCCGTAGTCACCTCGGGCACTTCAATGAACGGGAAGTATGCCCTTTGCTGCCGGAACTGTAACAGTAACTCCTCGGCCTCGTTCATGTTGAGGTTCATTCTGCTAGACCTCAACTCACAGTCTACAGCATCACCGACGTTGGGTGTGGTATCTCTGGGTGTACAAGTATCCCCTTCTTCTACAGTGTGGCCTTGCAATAGACCGCGATGTAGTTTGCGCAGCTGCATCACTTGGTCGTCCTCCTCTTTAGGCCTCTTCTGAAACAGCCCCGAGACAACATCATTACCATGATGAGTAGGAGCCTTCACTACTTGGCTTCTCGGACTCTTTTCACTCCTATTCGCGATCAGCAAAATGGTAGAGATTGAGTGAATATAGGACACGCACGTCGTCGATGAAACACTCCCCGTAATTATACATGTATACCCAAGCTTTGCGCATCTATTCCAGTCAATATGGTGAACTAAGCATACATTACTGGCCAATCATTACATACCTTCGACAGGCGTCTGTTCCGCTCCCTTTCTCGTTGGGTATACACCGGATTTTGCGCGTCCTACATGGATCGCAAGCTTTGGAGGTCCGCGGTCGTGGACAGATAAATTTATAACTGTCTGCCATCATGATTACTCCCAAGAGAGAGCGATAGATGGATTGAAGAACGATTGATGGTGATGACAGTCAGATAGAGCGCAGGAGTATATGGAGGTGCGGAGGGAAAGCCAAGCCGAGCTGACGGGCGGATGGCAGGTTTAACCGGACCTCCCGAATGGGATTAGCGCTGATGGCATCTGCTTAGTATGCAGTCTACACAATGTCCCGAGTCGCCTCAAACAGTGGTCTGCTCTAATGTAGTCTTTGAATTCGACGTTTGTGAAGAAAGTATCATGCGTCATAGGTTACCTGATTGGAATCAACACTGTCTCTTCTCCGTCACCGTGACTTCTTCCCAATACCGTCTGTTGGAACGGCATTCTTCCAAATGGGCTAAAAGAATATATATAATATAGTTTCGCCAATGCTACTACTCAAAGCAACAGTGCGACACTTCAAAATGTCTGACGACCATTTCCTCAATCCCCAACCTCACACCTCATCCTCATAATCCACATCCCTGCTCGGAAAATACCCCGTCCTAAGCACATGTTCCACCAACGACCCCTCACCACCCCAGACCTCCCTCCCAAACGCAGCAATCATATCCAGCCCATTCAACAACGTCCCCGTAGTCCAGATCTTCCCATCCCTTACCCATCTCTTCTCCACCCAGTTGGTTCCAGGTGACATTTGGCGAAACAACGGCAAGAACGAAAGTGGACCTGTCGCCGTCTTGCCTTCCAGGATGCCCGTCGCTAGAAGGGCGTCTGATGCGCCGCAAACAGACAGGAACGCCGAACACTCCGCGTAGCACTTCCGGAGGAAGTCCTTCTCTGTGGTGGTGGCTTGGTACCCCATTTGGCCGGCTCCGATGAGGACAATGTCGAGGGGTGGGCAGGTGGTGAAGGAGTCCTGCGGGAGTTAATGAAATGGTTGTGATGTGGAGGATTTGGATTGGGTAGGATAGTACCGTGGGGATGACTTTGAGGTTTCCGCTCAGAGAACCGGGTGTCTTGCCATCTTCGGTGACCCAGTGGGTGACGAAGTCGAGGGCTTGGGATCTGAGTTCGGGGGAGATGGCGAAGGGTGGGAGGTTCTTGATGAAGTCTTTGCCGAAGTTGTGGAAGAAACCGATGGGGGCGATGTCGAGGTGCTCGGTTACGCTGTATTATGGATATTTAGTTACTGGACTGCGTAGGAAGTCGTGTGTGCATTGCAACTCACGTATTGAGCAAGACAACGCCGACGTGGATTGGGCGTCCGGGGTTGCGAAGATCGAAGGTAGTAGACATGTTGAGTCAGTGGTCACTGAGAGTTGATCGGGAGAAGCAATTGGAATGAATCTGTTGTTCTGGAATGGTCATACATCCACAGCGAGTATATTCGCTTTTATAGATATGCTGAGGCTTTTTGTATACTTGGTTCTTAAGGACATGATTGGTCGAACTTCATCATGCATGCGGGACGGCTAGAACTGCCATCCACCGTTCCGTCCTCGGTTCGCCATGCCCTCCGGAGAATGGTAAGCCTTAACCCTATATCCTGACTCTGACAACTGCAGAACTTGTGATGTTATTTGTTGCTTAATGGGGAAAGTATCATCGGGAAATTTCTCTATTCTAGATTACTATTAGTTGGCTTGTCATTATGTAGAAAAGTACAAACGAAAATATATACAGGTGTGCTGAAACACAACTATATTGCTTCATCCACTCCCTCTGAAATCTTGATTGTTGTCTGAACATTGACCTGATATAGAGCCTGCCATGACCCAGCCCCCAGGGTCAAAGCATCCCGATTTCTGTCCGAATGGCTCAGACGAGATGTGACGGTGGTTACTAGACGAGTCTGCGACTTGCCTGGAACAAAATCCGCACCCCAGTTTTCTGAGTTATGTAATCTTTCAGCATCCGTGGAGATGTTCGAAAGAGGATGCGCCTCTTCACTGCGCTTTTTGCCACGAGAGTTACCTCCATAGTATGATCGAGTTTCGAAGACCCACAGAAATAAGGGGCGAAGGGTGGCGAGACTCCCTGCGGTAATGCCGATTCCGATCTCGATGATGGACCAAAAGTCGATTTGGTAGGTTGCATCTGCTGTGGTTAGGGACGTGGTGATGGAATGACAGGTTCGACCTGACTCACAGAGAAGGTTGGTGTCATGGTAGGTATGCAGGTATGGGATTCGAATGATCACGGCGACGCTCTCTCTAAAACAGGTTCAGCATGTTTCTTTCTTGAGCTCGAGGGAATGGTGCACGTACAGTGCTCCTAGGCTAAGGACTCCTGCTAATGCAATCTTTGTCCGGCGGTCCATTTGCAGGCGCCAGATCAGAACGGCGGGCATGATCCCAAGAGTAATATCGGAGAACACAATCAGGAAGCTGTAGAGATAGCCAATGTCCAACAGTATCTGCCGCTGTATGCAGCTCCCATGCTGATTTGCAGTGACATGCGACCAGAAATAAGAGACGGGTTGGCAGCCGGCTAGGAAGACAAGCCAAATCATTATCCCAGCGACTACTACAAGTCCTGTCACTGCCCACAGAACAATGCGGTGCGCTTTTTGCACAGCTAGCCTGAGTAGAGCTATGGCTATTGATATTTTGGTGATCGCGGCCGACCAACTATACAGCATTTGACATAGCCACCACCACTGTTTTCGTATAGTCAGAGCAGGGATGTTCATGGGGTTACTCGCGTCGAGGCAGAGGGAAAATTATACATACCAGCAGAGCCTGCTCCATTGTCTTAGGATCGGTGAAGTCCTCGTTCTTATGCCCAACACCTCGCTTTGATGCAACCATCCAACACGCATCCAGGGCTATAAATAATGTCTAAGTGAATATCAGTCGCTGTCGTGATCGTAAGATAATCCGTACTACTACCAAGGCGACAACCATCAAAGCATCGTCCCACCCAAAAGCGCGAACCGTATAAAGACGAACAAAGGTGCGCAACGCGACCGCCATAATACTCACGCTCATCATTACCGCCGCGCAGATAAAGATGGCCAGACTATGACCGACAAGAGGCATCGAGGAGCCCATTCTGATAGGGGGTGACCTGATGACTGATTGAAACCAATTGATCGCATGCCGGCTGCCGTCAAAAGGCCTTGCAAGTGAGGTTAACGCATGCTTTTATTTACATGTTCATCCGTGCGGCCCCTCAGCTAAACCAATTTATGTGAAGTCTCCTAAGTGGGCAGACTAGTAGTGATTGCGCAAACAAAAAGTCGAACATGATCGTCGACGGAAAAATAGTTGATCTACCTGCAAGGAGCAGGCAGACCCATCTTTTTGGAAGAATGACAGGGGGTGAGCCAAGCGGAGCAGATCCCAGCGGGACCCATCCATGTTGCGGATCGATCTGACTCTGACAGGTTGATGCATCAACTGCAGTCGGATAGCTCGGTCCATGTGCATTCAAGACGATTTAGGCTCGCCTGTAGTCTAATACTTGTCCCACAGCCGCGAGATATTTCATGTCTCCCCTGGATAAAAAGGCAACGTTGATTGACAAAGCCATCCGCGCCCCTTTTGAAACGCCCGGCTGAAGTAACGGGTGAGACACGAATCCTGCAGTGGGTGTTTCTCAGCCGCCAGCCGAAACGATCAACGGCAGCTAAGTTATAAACGCTCAGGGGTTAAGGATTGGGGGCTGCGAACTGTCCACAGAACAACGGGTCGTGGTTACCTACTGACCTGCGAACAATCGGTCCAATTGGTGAACCTGGTCAGCTCATGACCGTGGCACAAATTGGCTTCTGGGTGTGAAACCTAGAAAAATTAAGCTAGTCCTGCTTACAACGTGGATGGAATGAGAGGTAAGTGGACAGGACCAGGCGGGGCCCTCTCTTCCCAGAGCCCCGGCGCAAACGGTTGTTTCATGTTGAATACCCAAACTCAAAATTCTCCGGAAATCAACTTTTGCCGTTGATTACCCGGTAGTTAACTCATCCCTTATATTAACCCATTTATCGACATGGAAAGGACTCGCCTGGAGGGGTCTATTTCTCAGTCTTTGTTCGATTACAGTGGTGCTCTGCTAATAAGTGGCCATTGTAGGCCAACGAAACGATGTCTGGTTAAGGAAACACCGATCATCTTCAGCAAAAGGCAATGTCTAGCACGGGGTAGATCCACTTGACTGGTGCTTTCAGTGATGTCGATAAGCTTAAAGCTTCCTGTGATTACCGGTCAGGAAGCCTGGGTCCCGTATTGGCATCAGCCCACATTTCCTCGAGTCCCAGGCACACAACCTTCTCCCCAGATACAAACACCTATTGCCACATATTATGGGGCCTCTAGGCTCAACTCCGCAAGGATAAGGCATGATTGCGAAAATAGACTATGGTGACTAGAGCCGAGGCTGGGAGTTCAAAGCACGCATGATCGGATACATCTTCATTCTTTATTTTGAGCATGCACGGTTGGTACACACGATAACACTGCTTTCCAACCTAAATGCCTAGCTGCCTTCCTAATCGAGAAGTTTCGCTGGCGGAATCAACCTTAATCACTTGCAATTGTCGACAGGTCAATTTTCTATCTGTATCTTGAATTCATGTCGCAAATTTGAGTCAACCCAGGACTTGGCGGTTTGTGAAAGAGGGGTAGTCTCCCACATGTCAGTTACCTTAGGACACGACAAGGTTGCGAGATCTTCACTTGCCTCTGACTACAAAGCCATCCGGTCATTGACCTAGCATGTGCTTGTCTGATAGCTGTAGTATTCCTAGATGTGTAAATCCAAGGAGGAAAAGAAACGGAGATGTGGACACGTGAGACCTGTTGCCCCTTTTTCCCTTTATCTGACCGCTTGCCCGTCCAGTTATTCTGCCACTCAAACACACTGTTCTCTGTCAAATGTGCCTTGATGCCTGCCCCGATTATCGATTTGAAATTAAGCTGCCAAAAGAAATGACTGATTCATTGTACAGCGTAGTGAGTTACTGATCGCTCACACAATGACAATAAAGAAAGGAAGAAACTACTACCTGGGCCACTGTGATACCGCGGAAAATTTACCCGAGTGTTGTTATTCTTAGTTCCCCGATTCCACAGCGCAAAAGTAATTTTGCCACTTAAGATTCGGTGGGTAGATTATTGCAGAGTTAACTTCTCTTATTCTCTAGTAATCACACTTTGGCTAAGTCTACAATCAAGCCACATCTATATTAAATGCTATACGCCGATGTTCAGCATTCTAAGGTTGTCTGAGGATATCTCCGGTGGAGCATGTCCACCGGAGCGTATTCGGACATCCTCACCTCCGGAATGCGGGACTCGGAGGGCTGGCGAGTATCTCCCCACCAAATGTGCGATAGCGAAGCCTAACTATCATGAATATTAATACCATATTCCCGGGCATTTCACCTTTAATGAAGGTTTACTAGCAACCGAAACACTCAAAATTCACTGAGAATGCCAGGTCCCATGAGCACGTATGCCACCGTCCAGAGGCTTCAGGGTAAGACGGCTCTGGTTACAGGCGGAGCACAGGGATTTGGCAAAGCAATTGTGTCCAAGTTTATTGCCGAAGGTGCTCGAGTTCTAGTCTTGGATATTGTAGAGCCGGGCCCAGCAGACTCACAAGGTGACTTCTCGACCAACGTAACTTATGTTAGCGGAGATGTGACCTCTCCGGAAGACTGGCAGAAAGCTCTCGAACTGGTCACTCAAATTTTGTTGTCGACAATTCCGGTGTACTGATTAATTCATTCAGATAGTCTACATTAACTGTTGAGACATTCACTGCAGCCAGGCAGCTGTCAGCTGATCCTTCGTCTTTTCTTCCTGCGTGGTCTCTGACCACCACCTCTTCCAATACACAACCAACCACTCTCTTGAGATCAGATAAAACAAATCCATATATCTTTAACCCTTCGTCTTGACATTAGCTGAGTATATCTGAAGTCATTATCTTAGTTGAGAGTTCACTCTCCAAGGTCATGCTGTTAGTTTCTAACACCGACATCACCGGCTTGTCTCAAGTAAAACCCAAATTTCATTAAATACAACCACGTCTTCATCATGCATGTTATGTGGCATAGTTGTGAATGGACTAGTTTATACTACGACTCTTTACCTTTCGACCGGGTGCTACTTGAAACTGCAGTCCTTGTATGTATATGGTATACAGATATTATAACGACTAAGCTAATACGTGAAGTATAGGTACAACCCAAGCATAGTGACTACCAGGCGGGCAATGTCAGAGCGCTGAGCTAATTGCTCGATATCACTTGCAGCGTCACAGATGCATTTTCCGTACAGAAAACCAAAATAGACGGCGTTTCCATGGACATCAGAGACAAATCCTTCATGTATGAGGTTGAGACATTTGAGTCACCCCTGCTGCTTAGTGGCCATCGACATATCGTTTTGGTCTACTTGGCAGACATCTGTCTTGACATATGATCTTCAAAAATTCACGTGTGATTCTGAGCAACCTGAGAAAGAAAGGCAATGGGAATGGAGAATCAGCATATAAGTCACACTGGGGTTTGAGATGTGATGACACCGTCGTCGCTCATGCCGATAGACTAGGACGATTCGGCTTAGGACAGTTCGCTTTAATCCATTTCAATGATAGTACGATTTGCTGTCTGTCGGGCATAGCACCAAGAACTAAGGTTCATACTTATCAGCTATGTTGTCTGTTGATGCAATATTATTGTAAGCTTCGTCATGAGGTGAGAAGGAAGACTAAACGACGCCAAGAGCGACAAAAAACCGCTTAATGCAGGATATAGCTAGTGACCATTTCAATCCAATTCAATTCTCATTCTTATACCTGATCGAGCTTGCTGAGTAAGATGCTGGCTATGCAGGTGCTTTATTGTTTGAAGCAGGAATATAGCTCTAAATACTATTAGTTCTCTTAAGCTCGCAGTAAATATACGTAACCACGAAGCAACACATGCCATGATGTAGGAAGGTCGTCGCTGTAGCTCAACACAACTTGAACTAATGATGAAAGTAAAGAAAAGTGAAGTCATGCAGTAATACAAGGATATAAATGAGTATCGCAGCTGACCGGCCAGCTGCCTGGCCAGCTGTCTGCGAGTTATTTTCTAGCCCAAACGCTGAATCGATAGGTTCAGCAACCTTCGAATTTCATGTTCGGCATCCGTATCGGCAAGAGGATGACTTGGTGCTTCAAGATCACTGTCAAATATCATGAGGGAATGTTGAGTTGAAATAACGCAACAAATAAACTGTAATGGAATGACGCACGAAGCCATTTTCCTCTCCTTGAAGCTTTGTATTCGCCCGAGAATTCTGATTTAACTGAGTGCAGAGTACTCAAGTCGAGCCGAGGTCACTGAAATCTCCACCGGACTCGGAGAACGCTACACATACCCACTCCCACCGGACAAAGGCACCCAATGAAAACGTCCAGCTGTGTCGCGCCACACCCGATCAGCTAAGATAGACAAAGTGCCTCTCAAAGCGTAGTTTACAATCCATAAATATATAAGTGGTCCTATTTGACATGCAAATCTAATACTGTGTTAATACACCTCATCCAACCTCAAAACATCCTCAATCACGACTCTCCGCCTCCCGTCTCAAAAATCCCAATATGACATCTCCCTCCGCCACCGACCGACCCAAAGCTACAGCTATTCCCTACCAAGGAGACCCTCTCCCCAACGTCCCAGAGGATCTCGTCGTACCAAATATCGTGGGCCTGGACTTTGACGAACGATTATGGGTTCCCCAAGCACCAGACGTCTGGTTCCGTCCTATTCTATTCAACGTCACTCAGGGTTACTTCGTCAACCTACTTCGTGTGCGTCGCTCGGGTATCTTGTCCCGTCACCGTCATACCGGCCCTGTTCACGCAACGGTTCTACGAGGCAAATGGCACTATCTTGAGCACCCGTGGTGGGCGACGGAGGGCAGTCATGCTTTCGAGCCTCCGGGTGATATTCACACGCTTGAGGTCCCGGATGGGGTCGAGGAAATGGTTACTTTGTTTCATGTTACTGGTGCATATATCTATGTTGACCCTGTGGGGAATGCGCTGGGGGTAGAGGATGTGTTTTCGAAGTTGGCTAGTGCGAGGGCGCATTATGAGAAGGTTGGGCTTGGGGCGGACTATGTTGATCAGTTTGTTCGATGAGAGGCTTTGTGTATGTATTGTTGCTGCATGTTTACTACCTATATCGATACGCCGATGGCGCTTGGAAGTACAAAGCTCGGATAAAGAAAACTTGAAGCAATGTCACTAGAGAAGTAATGAAAAGTTTTTTTCGCTTTTGCAATCTATTGAAAGGGATCTGTCTGGTTCCATACCCAGCTCTGACCAAAGAGCATATTGTGGAGAGTATTGAGATCCTGGCTGGCAGGGTCGGCTACAGAAGCCGTTGGGCTCGTAGATTGAAATTGTTCGGCCCTATGAAGTTGGTTGCTGACACCTGTTGGCTGGAAACATCGAACTGCGAGTCAATTGGATTCAGAGCATTACTGGTCTGATGAGCCATTGAATTGGAAGTCTCCCACATTACTTTACTGGACTCAATTTGGGTAGAATATATTCTTGTTCCTAAGAAGGCTGATTGTTAGGGACAGTAAACAGACCTTGTTGTACTGCCTCGAGTGCCGTATCAATTTCGGGGTAACATGGTAGAGTAGCCTGGCCGGCGTCGGGGTCGACCACAGAATGAGTCCCGGGGGCATCCTGAGGGACGGTCAGGCCACCTAGGTTTCTCTGCGAAAGCTGGGTATTCTCATGGATCCCGACGGGTTGGTCAAACAAGCCATCTGCGTGGGGTACAAGTTGGTTGGTACTTTGATATGTTCTGTGCTGAGAATTTTCTAATGGCAAGCTGTTTTTTCGGACTTGGGCTGTTCATATGGAGAGGTGAACTATGGAGTAGAGTTTGCATTTCGCGTTTGAGTATGAGACAAAACAATCTGTCTAGGATCCTTACCGACTGTGAAGAACCCCCAGATGATGTTGCGAGTGTCCCTGCAGAGCTATTGAATTTGCAACGCCTATTTTAGCATGCAAGCATTGTTCTGAGCCCAGGTCCGATAGAGCCACCATGCGCAATGTGACTCCCGCGGTGAAGTCTTGGATTGTGATATACGCTGCTGCATGAGCACTCTGCGCCGTGAGAAGGGTCTTGGAATACCGCGGCAATATGCTACAGGTACGCCGATCATACTGCTTGCACTGCTCGAAGCTAGTCGGGCCCGCATCGTAGTTGCGCCAACTTGAAGAAAATGGTAGACAACGAATATATCGAACAGATGGACGGTGTAGAACGATCTGGATATTGTCATATGAACTCCATCTGTATTAATATCGCCTCCTGTCTATTCTATCCCACAAATAGCTTACACTTACTATTCTCAATCCCCAAATATCATTCTTGTTGCAAGCTATGGCTCCGTGATTAGATGTACATGAGCATATCCCCATTAAGGAATAGAAGAGACTAGAGCTCCCAGCCCTCTGTAGACTTATCCCAATCTCGGCATTCCTTTGGCGGTTTTGCCAAGCCCCAACCTGCCCATTTGGCAGGAGACCAGACAGCTCGTGGATCGCCCTTGCAGGTGAGGAGGAATCCAACATAGTACCTATGTAACAATACAGATTTAGTAAGAGAAGTGATGGACTGGACTGCTGGACTCACAAACTGCCCGTGGTGGAATCCCACACAAGGTTTTTAGCGTGTTCAGGGTAAGGTAGGTGTCCCCAGATCTCAAGCTTGCTGTTACAGTACGTTATAAGTATGGGCGAGCGGGAAAGGCTTTAGGACCACAAACCAGATGCTCTCTTTGAATGCTTGACGCACTGCATCCCGCTCGTCCCGACTCAAACCCCAGAATGGCGCAGAACCGACATCATTACCCAGTTGGAGTCCTGGTACCGCTTCCCAAACAACCCAAGTGACAAACCCGCCGGGAACAAAGCCAGTATTATCCTGCTTGTCTTCTTTGCTGTCCAGCAGACGGGGGGTGATGGTTGATCTCTTCTGGGTCAAGGTGCGTAGGTGCTTTAGTTCAATCGGACAAAAGGATTCTGCTTGCTCGGCTCGTGTGGTTGGAGGTCCAGCTTCAGTTCCTTCAATGGAAATCTGCTTATAATAACGCATGTGACCCTGAACAGGGCCATCCGGTCCATGTGTCTCGCAAACGAGACGAGTACAGGCCAAGGAGGGGTCATGTTTGTCCCGCAGATCGTCCGGGTTGAGCTGGAAGCAGTGCTCACTAGCTACCTCGCGAATTACCCACCTGGCCTTCCTAATCTGGATGATAGTACCAGGGGCGACCTCGCTTTGAGCAAACCAACGCGATGGCATGATGGTATTAGAAAGTAGCGACAGTAGATGTCGAAGTAACAAGTACCGCAGACTGGTGAAATTCTGAAAGTAATGAAAGCGACTATCTGCGGAGAAGATGAATAAATTGAATTGGGCTCAGACCAGAGAGGTGAGGAGATGAACGAGAGAAAGGGAGATCTAGAGATGATGATAGAGGCACGGCCAGCGGGGGCCTTAACCCAGCCAATCAAATTCTAGCTTAGCTTTGGTGATTACTGGTACAATGATTGAACATTCACTGGAGGCAAACACTACGCCTTACTCTCTGATCTTTATACATCTCAATTATTACACTCTTTATTCAGTTTTCGATGTTGTGGTAATTCTATGGTTTGGAATCTAATCGGGCTGATGATTGGTTTACAGGAAGATAACTAAACATACTCCTGCTTACTAGTTAACGTAAGATATTCTCAAGCGGATGTCGCTCAACTGGTATGATGACAGTGGTGGACCTCATGTGTGGATTAAGATGATATATAATGAAATGTTTACTTTTTTTTTTCTATTTATTCTCTCTTTCTCTTCCTCTTCTCCACCTCATGTTAGTAATCTTCGAGAATAGCTACCCTAAATTATATGCTGATGGCTAATGGATTGAGTACCATCATACCAATTTTTAAGTAGATAGGCTCAATCGTCCCCAATCGTCCCCCGGACTAGTAGTAAATTTATATTTAAAAAACGTACGTAAGTAAGACTCCACCTTCAATCATCCGACAAGATTCAAGATATATTTACGGAGCGAGCGTATAAGAGTAGATACAGGCAAATAGGTTATCCATCACTAGCGGAAGGCGTATGGGGAAAGTAGTTCAGAGTCCCTCCCATAACTATCCTTAAAACGTGGAGACAGCAACAGCAGCATTCAACTGCGTTGCTTCAGCTTCTTCGCGAGCTTTTTCTCTGCCTTTGGTCTCGACAGGTAGCTGTCTCGCAAGAAGGTTTTCAGGTTCACCTCCAACCTCCTTCAAGTCACGATGAATAGTAATCTTCTCACTTTGAATATAGATACCCTTAACGGCCTTGTCAGTACGAAAAGTAACATTACGCCAGTGTAGTCCCGGAAGTTCGAGATTGTGATTGAGATAATATTCACTTTCAATAACGGCGGAGAGATTGCGCTGGTCTCCCTTCCACTCGACTGCTATGACGGACTTGATCAAGCCTGGTCCAGATGGAATGAAAGTCTCAACTAAATCCTGTACATCCCAGGTCTGTCCAGCAAATGCTTCGCTGGGAAAGTCGCGGGTGGTGAAGCAGCTACTCAGTCCTTTCTTCTTGTCGAAGCTGATATTGTGGAAACTGGAAAAGGTTGCACCATTGCTGAAGCGATACTTCCGTTGGTATTTGTAACCACCTATTTATCATCCTGTCAGTCAATATATTTTTTAGACTTTTCCATAGCGGCTGATCGGGTCTGGAATGCAGATGGTTTACCGAGCAGAGTGGAGGGTTTAAACAAGTCTGTGGCTCCCTCTTTGTACTCAGAGTACGATGGATAACCCACGATAAGGTGCACAGCCAATATTTCCGGGTCAAAGTTGAGATCATGGTTGAGCTGAGAGGTCAGAAGACCATTGTTGGCTTTCCCAACTCCAAAACCTTGGTATTCGATATCATTGATGATGACCTTGGTGTTGTGCTTGACTTCGTCGTATATGGACTTGTCGAACTCCATCGTGTTAGTTTTGGAGTAGTTCAGGAAGAAGAAATAGTTCACGGTCTGAAAAATGTAGACAGATTATCCAATGGATTGGATTGGATTTCTTTGAATATAGTACCTCACCAAAATAATGAGATGTTGAACAAATTTATCCCCTCACTTCCCAGTATTCTTCGGACTCTTGGATATCGCAGCAAAGCATCAAAATTACCAGTGACATAAAGATCTGTACTTTGGGGCTTTAAGCACTCAACTATGCCGTTGCTCATTGGCCACTCTGATAGCCCCGATAGTAAGGTGACATTACCCCACACGCTTCAAATTTTGAGGGGATTATATCCTTGTTGTTACGAGCCAATCGAGATGAGGACAGATGTCTCGCTGCTATCCAATGAAAGAATCAAGGCTTTAGGAGAGAAGAGAAAGGAGGAAAACTACGAGGATGCGAGTTGGGCCTTTTGTGGGCATCCGGCCACAAGCATCTTCCCATTTCGGAACCTGCGAAGCATCCAAACAAACAAGGCTAACCAGCAGTTGCTCCTCTGAACGGACTTGAACGTCCCCAAATGTAACATTGGACAAGATAGCATGATACCTGTCAAGATAGTACGTCAGCTCCTCTCTTGTGGTGCCGCCTCCTTAGCTCACATGAGCTAACGTGTTATCTTGACAAGGATATAATTCCCTCAAAGTTTCAAGCCACCCCTGATATCGGGGCTGTCAGATGGGCCAATGAGCTGACGGTTATCCTGACAAGGATGTAAGTGTCCCATGTCGATCGGAACAGCTTTGTTCCGACCAGCGTCCTATTAGTACCTTCGAATGAGTCAGTAAGAGTTCTTCCCAATTTACTGAATGCCTGAGTCATCCCTACCTTATGGTCCAGCTTTCCGTCCTGTTTGCGACGAATGCAGTACGATCATTAGAGTCAGATATACGAAAAGCCCTCCGACATGTCAGTCCACAGTGACAATAAGGAATCACCGCACCTACCCAAGATGGATGAGGCACAGGAACAGATTCAGATAGCTGAACAGCCATATACCATCTTCAATTCGCAAGCGAAGAAATGGATCATTGCCGCAGTTACTGTGATTGCGTGCTTTTCTCCGCTCGCCAGCAATATTTATTATCCTGCTTTGAATACCCTGGCAACTGATCTCCATACATCTTTGTCGTTGATGAATCTGACCCTTACCTCGTATATGGTAGGTAAGCTTTACACAAGAGAAACTGTATATTGCAACACCGATTAGTGCAACTCAAAACTAAAATTATCTAGATTATTCAGGCTATCTCACCTACGATTATCGCAACGTTCTCTGACGTCACTGGCCGACGGCCTGCATACTTTATTTGCTTTATAGTTTTCATAGCAGCCAATATTGGCCTCGCGCTGCAAAGCAATTACGTTGCGCTTTTACTCCTCCGATGCCTCCAGAGTGCGGGTAGTTCAGCAACAGGGGCATTAGCAAACGCGGTGATTGCAGACACTGTAACTTCGGCCGAAAGAGGTAGCTATATTGGATATACATTTTCTGGTAAGTGGCAAATTTAGGTCTTCTCTTAGTTTCCTCTCTAAGTTCATTTTTAGGTGCATTTGTCGGCCAATCGGTCGGCCCTGTCCTTGGAGGAATTCTGGTATACACTGTCAGCTGGCGGTGGATATTCTGGTTCTTGGCTATTTTTTCAGGCCTCCCCTTCATCGTTTTTGTTTTGTTCATTCCTGAGACATGTAGGATGATTGTGGGAAACGGGTCGTTCGCTCCGCCTCGATCGAGGATCTTCCCACAGCCCGTGTTTTCTTCCACTAATACCAGCTCCACTCCACTTACCCCCAGAGACGGTACCAGAGAAGGATGGGCTGCCAACTTTTCTATTCTGCTCCTTTCCCTGAAAATTTGTTTATCAAAGGAGGAAGGAGCAATCCTTCTTTACAGCGGACTTATTTTTGCTAGCCTGGCAGCTGTGGCTGCAGCTCTACCCTCCCAACTATCCGCGCAATTCAAATTGAATGAACTTCAAATCGGCCTTTGTTGTATTCCTATGGGAGTCGGAAGCTGCGGCGCTGCGGCGGTTATGGGAAAGCTGGTCAACTTTAACTACCATCGGCATGCGCGCCTGAAAGGAATCGTCACAGACAGCCGTAACGACACTGACCTACACGGGTTTCCAATAGAAGCTGCAAGATTGCAAGTCGCATTGCCTGTTCTATATCTCAATTGTACTTTGCTAGTTTGTTATGGGTGGATCTTGCAAAAAGCACACAGCCTGGGAGCGACTTTGACGTTCCTCTTCTTTCTGAGCTTCTCGGCGACAGCGACGTTTAATGCGCTCAGTACTCTTCTCATTGATCTTTTATCTGACAAGCCCGGAGCAGCAGGCGCAGCAAACAACCTTGTCAGATGCTTACTTGGGGCTGGAAGTGCTGCTTTTATTCTACCCCTGATACAGAGGATTGGAGTTGGGTGGGCTTATACAGTGATAGCTGGCCTCCTAACTATATTGAGCCCCATTGTGTGGGCGATATTAATCTATGGGCAGCAGTGGAGGAGGGCAAGCCAGAATAGTTGAAATTGGAAACTTTATTCACTAGTTATAGAACTATGTGACTTCACGAATCTCCCTCGTCTAGCAAGAAAGTGTCAAACCCTAGGATCGCTCCTCTGTCCCTGTTAGCTTAGCTTCACTGGTCTACATACCGTCGAACTGGGTTGAAGGGGTATCAGGCTGATGACTATCTAAGAACAACTGGATTTAGATAAGAGAAGAGAAGTAAGGCCGAATAGTGCCGCGCAGCTATTTATAAGTAAGTACGGAGGAGTGTTCTGTAGCTAAGCTCCCAAATATATAGTTACTTAAAGACAGTGTTATTGAGCACGAAGAACTGAACTAGCTAAGTATATAAGAGAGTACTCTTATATATCCTACTCTTTGTATACCATATCATATACTATTTAGGGTAGGCCGGTGGTCGACCCTAAGATCTCCGTATACCTCGAGTATACCTCCGATGGTAGACTGATGGTAGATGGTCACGTGATGCGTGGCTGTTCTGGGCGTCGTAATGGCAATCCGAAATTATACTTCAAAAATAAATTTATATTATTATTACTACTATTTTTTAATTAAGATAAAAAAAATTTTTTTTTAATCTTATATATAAGTCTGGCTAAAACCAGTTACCTACTACTAATTATAAAAGATAAAAATGGTTTTAAAAAAGTTGGATATAAAATAATTTTCTAATTAGAGTGGTTAACGGCCAGGGTAGGGTAGATTAATGGAAAAATTTATACCTGCTGTCAGGTTAACATTTAGATATAAGAATTTCTAATATTTGACCGCGGAACAGCTAAAAATAGGATAATTAATTATTTTAACTGTTTCTGGCGCCAAGACCTACCCGCTATACTCTTTTAAATCTTAATATAAATAAGATATACTCAGATTAATAGATATCTATCCTGATTATTTATATCTTTCTAAATAATTAATATAAGATTAATCTTCTTAATTCTAAAAATAATCAGAAGAAAGAAAATAGTATATTTTATCTTATTCTAATCATCACAAATATGGATAATTAATCTAATTATGTATTGTATAAAGAGTTCAAGTCTCTAAATCATAGGCAGTATACCGAGATTTTTTTTTTATTGTTCTCTACCAATAATGGACATAACCAGGCTTCGTTGATGTGAAATTGATCGTTAATACTACAAACAGGAATCTACTCCTGACGAGGCTGCACAGGCGCCGCATGAGGAGGTGCGTCAATAAGAGCAGCAGCCTTGGTCAACCAGACATCGGCGGCCGTGTTGCGCGAAGAGTAACAGTCACGGTAGATGAAGTTCATCGGGAAGCCAACATCAAACGAAGATGCACTATCAATCTCATCGAGGTCCTCGTTGGAGAGGCTGACGCTCAAAGCCTCCACATTCTCCCGGAGATGCTCAATCTTGCGTTGACCGATGATGGGGAACACGTTAGGTGTCTTGTGCATGACGTAAGCTAGAGCCTGTTGATCATTCGGATTAGTTTCCATGACATAGCATTAATAGGATTGGAATCTCACAATAGCATGCAACGTGGTGTTCTTCCTGTTCGCAACCTTCTCCAATGCATCCGAGACCTTGATATCAGTCTCGCTCAATTCAGCGGCACGTGCACTGCCAGATTCGGCGTCGCTCTTACGCGCCTCCGCAGACTTGAACTTGCCCGCGCCGAGCGGTGCCCAGGGAGCAATCGCCATTCCTTGGTCTCTGCACATGGGAATTATCTCTCTTTCGAGGTCTCTGAATCCGGCGTTCCATCTTCCTTGGTACACAGAGAAAGGACGGAGGCCGTTGGCCCGAGCGTAATCGTTGGCCTTGACGACAACCCAGGCCGGGGTGTCGGAGACACCGAGGTAGAGAACCTTGCCCGATGTGACGAGGTTGTTGAGTCCATGCATGACTTCTTCCACGGAGGAGGTGAAGTCCCACCAGTGCAGGTAGAGGAGGTCGATGTAGTCAGTCTGGAGTTTCTTGAGACTTCTCTCGACGGAGACCCGCATGCTCTTCATGGAGTTGCCGACGAAATTGGATTGCAGGGGCTCGGTGTCCCGATGGGCGGTGCGGAAACCGGTTGTGTACTTGGTTGCGATGCTGATGGATCCGGTGTCAGATTTAGTGTGAAAAGATGGAGACCCATTGATACATACACCATCTGGTCGCGGTTCCCGCGCGCGGTCATCCACTCTCCGATCCATTTCTCGGATTCTTCGAATTGATAGTTGTTGGCCCTTTAGTAATTGTTGTTAGTATATTACAAAGACAATATATGTATTAGTGACGTACGTGTCGATAAAGTTGCCTCCCAGCCTGTAGAATTCATCCAGCAGTGCAAAGGTCTGCTCCTTGTTGCATTCTCCCATGAAGTCCTTCCTGTAAACCAACAAGAATCTGCTTAGTTGACCAGTCACTTCAAGACAAGACGTCTGCCATACCATGAGTCTCCAAAGTTCATAGCTCCCAGACACAGTGGGGAGACCTTGACACCGGCCGAGGGTGCCAATACGCGGTGGTAGCCGAGACGGCTGGCTGGCTTGGGGGCGGGGGCGAAGATAGACATGATGGTAGTTAATGAAGAGTGTATAAGGACGTTGCTGCTTCAATGATATCTGGGGAAGAGGTCGACTATATATGTCTTGAGAATTGGCGGCGATATCCATAAACTCCGATTACCTCCAGGCCAGAAGTTGTAGGAGACATGGCGATACGTTGATCATGACGCCGAGTCTCCACCAGATGCCGCTTTTAGTGGATCGAAGCTTGATGTCATCGGATTTACCGTTGAACCAGTATCCCCGTCCCATTGATTGTAATCAATGGAACAGCAATTTAGACTCGTACTCGGGTCAATGCGTCTGAGCACTAGTGTAGATGCTGTAGTTGTCTTTGGCAATACGAAGCTGCTTCACGTGCTTCGGGTGTCAGCCGATGCCCTCAGACTTGTATCCCCGTTAATTCCGTGAAGAGGAGTAAGTGCTGACCGACCCACAGCGGGGAGATCCCACCCATCTAAAGGTGCAACTTGCTGACACTCACTTGCAATTGGTCTCACCAGAACCTCAAGCAAGGTATGCTACGTGATTGGTGGCATCCCACCAACCTACCGTGCTGCGTAGCGGTCACCCGAGCGGAAAGGGGCGGAAGTCAATTATCCAGGGTCCTCTTCGTGTCCCGGCCAGAAGACCAACAACAAAGACGGGGCATAATCGATAGTTGCATTTGCAAAATTCGTGTCTATGGAAAGGTTCTGATTACAAGTATTGTTTGAGATGGCATGTGAGATAAATCCGATAAACCCGTGGGCTTACATCCGTGGATGCTACACTACAACCTCAAGTACATTCCTTCCCGGACAGTGCAATGGGCTTGATAGGAAAGCTAACCCCAACATATGCACAACATATGTAGCATCACCACTACCCATCTTCAGTTGATCTACCGATGTGTTTTACTGTGCTCCTCTTGTCTGGCGCATGGCTTTGAGCGGGACTGAATGTGAGCAGCGACCGAGGCGGCCTCCACTTGAGATTGAGCGTCGGAACCAACTGTGCATGGAGAGGCCCTCCCCATAATTACCCCGGATCTTCAACTGTCAGGGACGCCCTCATTTAGGACATGCGGGTGACTGCTATTCTCCCTTCCCAATTGTGGCTTTCCGGTAGAGGATTCACTCGCAGATGCGATCGGAAGATTATCAGATGGAGATGGATATAGTACCAGTAGTAGTCTACCCGGGCACAACATGTCAGACTAATGAAACGCCTGGCTTGTATCCAACAACCCCGAACCTCTGTGTCGTGTTGCTGGGGATCGCCCGGTCAGTCGAGTTTGCTGGCAATCTTGCCGCGTGTCGATCTTCGGGCCGCGCACCTCCCTGCCTCAGGCCGCACATGCCTTCCGTGACCAAATCATGGCCGGCTCTCGCACCGCTCCTACTCCTGTACTAATGGAAGTGTTTCGGTGAATGTGGCTGTCAAATTTCTATCTGGCGGTCATCGGAAATAGTGAGGCGTGGGATAAAGTACTACTATTGTTGACCTAACACCATCAGGCAATATAAATATATCTTGGGCCGCTCGGATATCTTCACCCGGACAGCCTCTTGCTCCTTAAATTGGATCATCTTCCACGATTCTTCTACTTGATGTCACACAGAACACTCATTAGAAGCATGCATTGGACTAAAGACTCTATAAGGTGTCATAAACGCATTTCTTTTTTCTTTCTTTCTTTTTTTTTTTTTTTTTTTTTTTTTTTTTTTTTTTTTTTTTTTTTTTTTTTTTTTTTTTTTTTTTTTTTTTTCAATGCTTAATGTTAGGAAGAGCTTAGTAACCCAACACCTTGGCAACGCGCGGAAACAGTGATAGCGCATTCTGGTGGTTGATGCGCGCCATCTCGGCATCGGTGAAGTCGCCGTTGCCCTGGATGGTAGGGAGTGCCTCCTCGCTCTGCGCAAGGGGAACATACGGGTCTGAGACATTGTTAGATCCCTCATCGATTGGATACAAGAGTGCTGAAAACAAGAGGAGGGCTTACAATCGGTTCCAGTCAGAATCTGGTCCACCCCAATGAAGCTTTTCATGGCAGAGAGTTGAATTGCTGAGGTGGCAGACGCCGTGTCAAAGTAGTACCCTGCCAGCTCCGCCAGGGATTTGGTCATGTTCAGAGACCCAAGCAACGACATGGACGCCATTCCGGCAATCCGACTGGCTAGATAGGGCATGGCGCCCCCACCGTGAGCAAATATCATCTTGATGTTGGGATTCTCCGCGCGTTGGCCCTTCAATAATAGGTTTTCCATTGCGCGCACGCTGTCAAATGGGTACTCCGTCAAAGGGAACGGGTAGCCCAGGCTTACTGACTGACATCCTGGAGCCGCCGGGTGGACGAAGACGGTGGCCTGTCGCTCATTCAAAACCGAGAAGACAGGATTGAGAGAAGGGTCGCCCAGGTAGGTACCATTGGCATTCGTGTACATGCCCACACCGGGAAACTTGAGCGTATCAAGGCAAAACTAACAGCTGTGTATTAGCCAAGATTCTGCTACTGTCTGGCAATCAACGTACCTCCAGTTCGGCTACCGCTTCTTTCACGTGCGGCAGGGGCAGCAGACAGAGCGCTCCTAGCCGAGTGGGATGGGCTTGGGTGTAGTTGTGCATGGCGAGATTGACAGTCCGGGCCAGTGCGTGTGCCTCCCTAGGGTCGCTCAGGAAGTAGACCCCAGGAGCACTCACGCTGATGGTCGAGAAGTTGATGCCTAAGGTGTCCATCGTGGCCAGGTGTGATTCCAGCGTCCAGTCGGGCACCGGGAAATTGTCAGTATACAGCGTTCCATTCTTTACCGGGAAACCAGCAGCAATCAAGGCCTCTCTCCAGACTGGAGGAATCACATGAGAGTGCACATCGATCCGGTAGCCGGTGCTGATGTTGCTGGCCCGGAGGGTATGCCCTGCGACCAGCCATGCCGAAACCACGCTAAGGAAGAGAGATTGAATAGACGGCATGAAGGGCAGATGTTACGACTGGGACATGGAAACATGAATATTGTGAAGGAAGGTTCGCCCACGACTTTGGGAGATCTTAAAGGACGGATAGTCCGGCGTCTCGGACGAAGTATAGTGTCCGGATGGTAAATTGTGCACTAAGCTTGGGTGCCGAGGCAACCGGTTTCCGACTATCGAGAAGCCAATGGGCCGCCGGTACTGTTAGCGGTTTGACACATATTGGACCAGGCGTTAATGGGCGGACCTCGCCACTCACATCCACCAATGCTGAAGCCACCTTGGCGTCAGACCACCCTGCAAACCCGTGGATAGGCAATGATCAGTTCCTTAATTACTATTTTTTAACTCCCTGTATAGCCTAGAGACTCTTTCTGCATAATAAAACTCATCTAGCATCTCAAGAAAAGGTTGTGTGTTCTCTGCCAGACATTCCACCCTAACAGTAGTCTTTCAAAGTCAACCTTAATGCACGAAAGTTGCTGAATAACTCATCTAGAGGCTTCTTTGAGGTAACCAGCTCCAGCAGGCTAGGTAAATTAGCCTTTTATTAGGGTTGCTATGCGCCATCTCAAGGACAAGGGGTAAAATTAGCAAGTGTAAGAGAGAATGATGGTCAAACAATATATGTTAGCCAGCTTCCATAAACAACCAGAGAGCCTCTAGAGAATTCGCATTTGTCTATTGGGGATCAAGTATTCACTAGACAACCACAAGCTATTAAACCGCCAACATAAATATTCAGTGTTTCTCGCAGACGCCTAGATCTTGAGATGGAAATAACCTAGGAGATAGAAGTTCCCCTGTGTTAGTATAATTATTAATGGCTATGTTTCCTTGACAAGCTCTCCTTAACTATATTTTATTATTAAGTATCCTGACTCAATATTTGTAAGCACACTTAAGCCCTTCCATTGGAGCTTCTTATATTAAAAGTTCTGGTTAGACATCTAGTTTCTCGTCTGCAAGACTGATCAAGCAGGGCAAGAGGTATCCCCAGGCAGCAGCATTATAGCTGGCTTTCTGGCTATGCCTTGCAACTAAGTTAGCTAGTGCTCCAATCGATGAATTTAGTAGCCAATGTGAATGAGCTATTGGGTAGAGCGTCTAAAGTATCTGGCTTAACACCCACCTGCCATGAAGAAGGGTTTGTTAAGGCGTATATGGCGCAGGGAGTGCGGATAGAATCCTAGGTCTCTCCCGTGCTTTCGAACTCTATTATAAGAGTTTCCCGGTCAAAAACCTTCAGTTGCCAATTTATCATCGCCTGTAATAAGGCTCCATACTCTAACAATGGCATCTCTGGGGGAATTAGTAAGAGACAGAGGAGATGGTGGTGTGGGAGAGGAGGGTCCACCATGGACCCGAGGGAGAGGAAATCCATCGAGTGTCCCAGGTAGGCGATTCAAGCACTCCAGAATCTTGTCATACAACATCCAATCTGCATCATCTGTAGCCCTGCCTCCAGTACTTTCACCATCTCCAAGACTATCGTACCAGGCGAGCATTGCCCGGCCAAGGCTGCGTGTGCAGAAGTAGACGACAGGTTCAACGTAAAACGGCGATTTCGCCCCAACCTAGAGGAATGTTTGCAAAAGTTGGTATTAGCATACTGAGAAGAGAATCGGAAAAGAAGCAAGAATGCAAGCTACAGCTACTAATGCGGGCCCCGGAGTGTTGTAAGTTCTCTGCTTTGTGTGCTTACCTCGAGAATTCCAGTACGAGAGATAAGAGACAGCAAGTCAAACGCAAGTTGAGCACCTGCTCGGCGACGCGACGCGCTGAGTAGATGAGGCTTTGAAGAACTCCACATCTGTGCCTCTAGGTACACACACAACATCATGCTGTTTATTTGATGGTCTGGGTGCCTGGAGTGCCAAAGTTCGTGCGGATCGCGCCAGAATAGCCATTTCCAGTAGTCCAGGGCACGGATGAGTTCAGTGCGAAGCCGGAAACACGATATGTCTGAATCTAGATATGCATCGAGGGATGTGAAGTTCCAGGAACTAGTCCGGCCGGTTTCATAAGTGTTTAAGAGATTGCAGAGGAGAATATGGCTGGTGTAGGTGCCAACCTTGTTGGGCGTTAACTGAGGCATAGGCTCTTGAGACATGAGGTAGTAGAATGTTATTTGGGACGGGACGGTTAAGCCGATCAGGTGTTGCGGCGCATTTGAGTCATTACGTCCTATCCATGTTTGTTCGTCAGGGGCTTCGAAGAGAGAATCTGGACAAGGGAGGTGTATGTTCCCGACGACGACCTCACATGTTGATATCGAATAATGCAGAAAGTGCCGACATTTAACGGCGAGGCAATAGAAACACCATAACGCACGCTTCGACTCTTCTAGCAGTAACCATATTAGCCATGAAGTGGAGTTGTTGTGTGAATTATCGCTCATGACTCTTGCAAGCCTAGGCATCACCGTGATAGCGTGATCAGCAAGCGTTTTTATCCCCCATTCACGGAGGTCTGCAAACTCGGACCATACGCTATACCTGATTAGCAGGATATAGGTTTCGAAACTGGTAAGCAGTCTTCTGTAATATGTGTCATTCCATGTCGCTGCACCGGGTACATCCTGATACTCCGCGCCGTCCAGGGAGGCCGTAAAGCTCTTAACTTGGTTAACGGCCAAATCGAAGTAGAGTCTTGAATGCCCGCCATAAGATGGGATTCGGCAACCGCCAATAGCCGCCATGGCAAGAGCCTTTCCAGACAGCTCCCAGCTCGTCCGCCAGGAAGAGGAGTGCAGGAATGGAAATTCTCGAGTATGGACTCGCACAAAATGTTGCAGGCAAAACTGAAACGCACTGAAGTGATCCTCCGCAAGACCTGTTGCAGGCAAGAGACACGATATGCACTCATCGCAAAGCATATTCGTAGTTGCGCACTTACGGCAGTCCAGCAATACTCCACTTGTTTTGCCAGTGCTTTTGGCTTGCAGACTCGGACAAGCCCGTAGTCGGGCCTGAAAATCCACGCTGGCTGCGTCGACTGTGAAGAATTGCGACCGTGCGTCGTCATGGTTGCTCCCAACTCTGACGACGTCACCAGGATGCAGAAGAGTATCTATCCTCGTTGAAACGCGAGGGCAAGGGAGTACGCCTCGTCGAGGTTTCCTTCTCTTTTGTGTCCCACTCCGCTGATGTGACTTTTCATGCCGTCTCACCGCATCTCGACGGTGAAAGCGCATCCCGCATTGCTTGTCCGCGCATTTGTACCGTGGTTCGGAGTGACTTAGTTGATGGCGCTGGAGATGATCATCTCGCTGAAATTGAGCGGAACAGATTTTGCATCTGAATATCATCTTTTCCACCTTCAGAGTCTGAAGGTAGGACGGCTTGTTTGAGGAAAGATTGTGCCGGTCTGGCTGGTTGAGGTGAGGAGAGTCGAAGTTGGGAAATGTGGGGAACCTCGGCAGAAGAATGACTGATACCCCACTCTTCGCTTCTACTATTTGCTGATAGACAGTATATTCGAATTGTAACCAAAAGGACCATCAGGTCCATCCTTTACTTTGTAAATGGTGTTTGACGGAGGAAGTCAACTGCGGATGGGGGGCAGGTGTCACTCCGGAGTGGCGTTCGAAGTTCAATCCGATATTGCCTTTATAGTTTCTACTGTTAATCCTTCCGGCGGCAATAGAGAGGACATTTTTGTGGCGGATCCAACTTCTGAGTGAATGTTTGGGATTAGCTACCTAGATTCAATCAATGGCCGACACAGGATATTTAGCAGAGGATTCCTGTTCAATTTAATTGCAAATTTCTTGGTCTATTCTAGAAAAATATTACCGAAGACTGCCAGGAACCATGTGCCACACGCTGGGAACCTCCCTTGAGCATGCACTCGCATTTCCGCCAGGTGAAGGAAGAGCGAGGTATGCTGGCGTTGACGTTTACAGGGATGAATGCGGAGGAAAAAAGGGAGGTATCCACCTGAACTACAATGTAAACCACAATAGTTTGTCATTTATCGTACGTAAATCTATCGTGGGGGATTGAGTAAAGTAGTCCCACCCCCACTGTAAGCCAAGCATGAACATCATTCTCAAACATCCGACTGAAGTTTATTATTTATCATATTTCCGAGGTCAATTATGAACTGCCGAATGACTGCCGCAAGGGACGGATCCAATCTCGCTCTCCGTGACTCAATTTATTTACTCTTCAGAAAATGACTGCACCGAGGCATCAATGTCAGAAACAAACAAGATACGTGGATGCCGAGGGAACCGTGTATCCGGGCAACAGCTGAGGGACGAGTTTCCTGTGCGCGTCATCACTCGGTCACTTAGGCTAGCATACTGAATGATGGACACAACACTTCCCTAAGTCATTAAAGAATACAATCTCAGGTATTATAGTTAGAAAGTTCTGTGATTGGATTGACCGGAGTGAGCGTACCGGCCGGGAATTATGTTTACAGCGAAGAATTCCCAACATGTAATGATCAGCAGTACGCATCAATGTTGATGTATGAGAAACTTCCTGCAGCATTTGTAGTGTGCCTGCACGCGTGCCTATCCAATTCTCTTTTTGGGATATCTTACACCATAATTACGAGGCAATTTGAGTAACTTCTATCGGGCGGAAGGGAGGAGTTTCTTAACGAAGATATTTCGACAGCTAGCCAGACTAGCTATATAGACGAAAGTGTCTTTAGCTCGCAAGGTCAAAGTTCACGACAATACGGCCTGCAACTTGGCCTGTCCGGAGCCTTTTCACTGCTTCAGGTAATTGGTCAATGGGATATACCTCGCAAATCTGTTTCAAGTGTCCTCGGCGAGCTAAGTCTAACGACGCTGCAACGTCGCTGCGGCTCCCAACCAGGGTTCCTTTGATGGTCGTATTGTTAAAAATAAGAAAGTTAGGATCACTGCTGATTGTCGTTGAGTCCTTCGGGGCCAGTCCAACACACATCACGATAGCCCCTATGCGGTCTCCCAGATACGATAATGCATTTCGATACGCAGCAGGTGCCGTGACAAATACCCCATGAGCCCCAATGTTGTCAGCTACAGCAATGACAGAAGCTGCTGTGTCGGTCGTCTCTTTGAAGTCCACGAAGCTCTCGGCACCCATCTCCAGAGCCAGAGCGCGCTTGGTCTCCCCGGAATCAACAACAATCGGGCGGATTCCCATTGCTTTGGCAATTTGGACTCCCTGGATACCCACACCACCGCCACCACCAGGAAACACAGCCCAATCTCCGGCCTTCAGCCCAGACTCTCTCAAAGACCTATACATAGTGGCTGCGCTACACATGATAGGAGCAGCAACGTTATCGGGTACGGTATCCGGAATTGGTGAAGCATAGCGAGCGGGGGAGACAATATATTGCTGATATGTTCCTATCGCCGGGTTAGATCAAGAAGGTCTCAGAGGTACGTATTATCTCATAGAGCCTACCAGGTGCCATGAGCCCTGTATGAATACCACTCCGGCAGTGCATCTCCTTGCCCCCCCAGCATCTCTCGCATGCTCCACACGTGTCAATCAGTGGCTTGATTCCAGCTCGATCCCCGACTTTAAAATTGCGCACATTTGCACCGATCTTGACTACGATGCCTACTCCTTCATGACCCGGTGATCGAACGCCGAAAGCTGACATTGGCGGCATATCAAGGTCGCCTTGCATCATATGAAGATCGGATGAACAGATACCTGTAGCTCGCAGACGAATGAGTATATCGTCCGGGCCTGTATATGTCAGCGACAGAACCGGCGGAGTGTGATTTGAAGAGGACTCGAAAGTTTACCTGGTTGCGGTACTTCTACCATTTCCACTCGGACCTCAAAGTTGGGCCCCGGATTGACAACAACACCCGCCTTGCAGTGGGAAGGAATGCTGGTCTCAGATGCAGCCATGATTGAATTGCTTTGAACACTCCAATTTGCCGCTTTGAGGAAACTCCAGGCAGCCAACCGGCTACTTTAAACCTATGAACCAACTCTGTACAGAGTAGAGATGCTACGGATCTGCGGAAAGGTGCCGGTCGGTCCGTGCGCGGCATTTCCCCGCAGGTCATTTCTACCAAGAAGTGCCAATCCGCTGTGTATAATCCAGGGACAACCACATAGTAGTGAGAGGCCGGTCTTTCTGCATGGTATCATTGGTGGGGTTTGGCGACCAACCTCCGCATATGACTTCATGCTCCAGCGATACCGGAACCTTTCCGCTTTATGACAACCACGAAAACTGCACGAAAGATCCTCAAATTAATGCACAAATGCAGTGTTTAGCACTGTATGTAACTCTAATCCTTAGTATCCCTGCACAAAATCTCTGTCAAATCCACAGATTAGGGCATTTTGGAGCATTGACAGCTGTTAGGAAACATGCATCCATTCATTTAGCAAAGTAAGTGCTCGGGTGTACTAGCGAGTTATAATAAATGATAACTACTAACGTAACTCCCGGCCGCGCCGGCCACCCGCCCAGGTCGGCCACCTCTGTAGTTCTATACCTTTAAAGTGACAAGTTCTCTATGTTAATATATCTCAGTCATTGCCTAAACCTTGCTCTGGAACTTTGTATACACATATATCGGATAATAAAATATTTATTTCATTTTCCACACAATTTTCTGATATTATAGGATACTGTTTGACTATTTAGAAAATTTATATATTATTATCGTCATAATCAACGGGCTTTGAGAATGTGAAAAAATACTAATTATATATTATTTTTTTTCTGTTACAATCTTCATGCTCGATACTGGGCTCGCATAAGGTTTAGTAATGAAGAGGTTTTAATATTACTGAAGAAGAGGAGTTTTGTATGATATTACATGGGTGGCCGACCCGGGCGTAAGTTAAAACAAAATACCCTTGAGCAGGCAAGTGAGCAGCCCACTAAACTAGTTATAAACTAGGCCAGCGATGAAGCAAGCAACTAAGAGGCAAGCAATTAACGGGTGATTATATACCTAGCTAACAACTTAACGGTAAATTCGGTGTTGAAGCAGAATACAAGCGGTCACCAGAGGTCCACATTGATCAAACTCTGGGAATACTGTGGGGAGGGTGGAGAGTTGTGACGCTAACAGGTTACTGTGGAGGATCAACCGCCACATTAATGCACCGACACCGAACAACGCATGTCAGTTCATTCATGGATTGTGGGTGCCACCCCCACTCTAACTCGGTAATCCCATTGGCGAAACAGATCATCCCGGACAGAGGGATCTACCTGGATATCACTATCGCTACACCCGATCGCCTATCCAGAGCCACTGCAACGCAATTGGCGAGTGGGACAGCTCCAGAAGCAACCTAGACACCCCAATCCGTAAAGCGTCTAGTGACACACGCTGCAGAATGCCAACCCCTACATATGACGGGGTTGTGTTCGCTTATGATTCGAGCAGTCAAAGACACGGAATCACGAGTTTGCGGTGAAAATCATAGGTCGTCGGAACAAATCCGCTGTATGTTAATATGCGAAAGATCCATTGCTGCCGAGGCAGTTCGTTGCGTTAGGGTGGGGGTACTCGACGGGTTGTAATTGAGTAGATGTGAAACTGGAATCATCTCGCAAGATTCAGTAGTAGCCCATAGTAGCTGTGCAGAGGACAGTAAGATAAATAAGACATGCTTGATCTAACCCTCTACTCGCAATCTTGGTCAGTTATGTTTGACTTCCTCGCACGGTATAAACCAAAATCACTCCTTCTACAATGCCTTCCACAAAAGCTACCCCGTCTGGTAACGGCCGCCCAAAACGGAGCAATTACGACCTTGATCTTGACGCTCTCATTGTTGGAGCTGGCTTCTCAGGATGCCTGCTGTTATACAAGCTCCGAGAAGAGCTGAACCTGAATGTCCGTGTTTTCGAGGAAAGCTCCGGCCTTGGCGGAACGTGGCACAACAACCGGTACCCAGGAGCACGGGTCGACTGCCCCGTGCCGGGATATGAGTTGTCCATGGAGAGGGCCTGGAGAAACTGGACGTGGCAGGAGAAATACCCCGGCTACGCAGAGCTCCAGTCGTACTTCGCTCACCTTGACAGGGAACTGTCTCTCAGCAAGGACTGCGTGTTCAACTGCAAGGTTGTCCTGGCTGAGTTCGATGAGGACAGTGCCCGATGGTACGTGGAAACTGCGAGCGGCACATGGGTCCGCGCCAAGTATCTTATCCCCGCCATCGGCTTTGCCTCGAAACCGCACATACCTGCTTGGAATGGCCTAGACTCGTTCCGTGGGCGGATCTACCATTCGTCTGCGTGGCCTGCGAACGGTAGCGGTGGTTGCGGTGTCGATGTTCGGGGCAAGCGCGTTGCGGTCATTGGAACGGGCTCGACGGGGATTCAGATTATCCAGCAATGGGCCAAGGAAGCCGACGAGGTCTATGTGTTTCAGCGAACACCAAATACCGCATTGCCGATGCGTCAGGAACGATTCCTCGACTCCTCCGTGCAGAAGCCGAATTCCGAGGTCTCTGAGCGGAAGCGGCGGGACGTGTTCAAAAAGTCATTGCATACGTTCGGAGGCCTGTCAACCGACTGCATCTGGCGAAACGCTATGGATGACACGCCGGCCCATCGGGAAGCGACGTACGAGCGCTTATACGCCCAGGGCGGCTTGGGATTCTGGAATGCCTCGTACCAGGACCTCATGAGCAATGCGGAGGCCAACCTCGAGGCGTATTGCTTCTGGGCGCGCAAGACACGTGCACGTATCGACGACCCAAAGCTCAAGGACCTGCTCGCACCGCTAGCGCCACTGCATGCATTTGGTGCGAAGCGGCCGTCGCTGGAACATGATTTCTACGAGCAGTTCAACAAGCCCCACGTTCATTTGATAGATGTCCGAGAAACGCCGATCCTAGGACTCGCCCCATCAGGTATAATGACAAACTCTGGGACCCACGAGGTCGATATTATTGCAATTGCCACGGGATTCGATTCTGTAATTGGTGGGATTAGGGAAATGGGTATCAAGGACGCTGATGGCGTTCCGCTCCACCATCGGTGGGACTCGGGAGGAATCTCGTCCTATCTCGGTATGATGGTCAGCCGGTGTCCGAATATGTTTTTGCCCTATAGCGCTCACTCTCCGTCCGTATTTTCGAACGGGCCTACCACGATCGAGCTACAGGCTGCTTGGATAATGGACATTATTAGGCAGATGGAGAGGCGCCATGTGGCTTTTATTGACGTAAAGAAAGAGGCAGAACAAGCCTGGATAAACGAAGTAGCGGATGCCGCGGAGAACACACTAGTTCCCACGGCTAACTCATGGTACATGGGCGCGAACATTCCGGGCAGGCGGGTAGAGCCATTGTTTTTCATGGGGGGTCTGCCTCGCTATCGACAAAGGTCTCGGGAGGCTCTGGATTCCGATCTACATGATTTCCATTTAACTCTTCGTTGATGTACATAGTACAGAAATGGTTGATGCAACTCCATAATAGCCGAGTGGTTTTTACGTGTGGGTCCTAGCTATAGCCATAGTACGGCCGAAGGCAAGTAGTAAGTCTAGTTTGGTGCGGAACTGTGGCGAGGGATGTGTTGATGAAAAAAACACAGACTGACAGGCTAGATGCGGAATTAAGCCTCGCCTATTAAATGTCCTCCTTTATTTAGGGTCACTTGTTTCGCATACCTGGACTTCCATCACCCTCTCCATCCTCCCCACCCAAGACTTGCATGACTTCTGGCAATGTGCAAATTACCCTCACCCAGTACTGAAGGTCTCATCCGGCTAATTAATATGGCCTGCGCGGGACCCGATAGGGACCTTCCAGGTGTAGTGGCTATGGTCGTGGATAAAAACGGCGACCAAGTATTTGCCCACGCCGCTGGACAGCGCGGCCACGGCCATGACCATCTTGGGGTCATGCAAATTGACACCTTATTCTGGATCGCGTCCTGCACAAAGCTGATCACTGGTATCGCGTGTATGCAGCTTGTCGAGCGGGGCGTGCTGACACTCGACGATACCGAAATCGTACAACGCCACTGTCCAGAGCTTCGCCATGTGCGTGTTCTCCAGCCAGACGGTCGCTTGGTTGAGAAGCAGAGGGATATCACGTTGAGGATGCTATTAAGTCATACAGGTTTGTTGATTTTTCCATAAGTAGAAAATAAATAAATATGGAATAACATATTGTATGGGACATACATGGATTGATCGGGCTAACTGCTGCTAGCTGGGTTTGGATACTCATTCATCGACGCCAATCTGCGGGATCACAACAGGCCAGCAGGATATAATGAGTTCTCGGGACAGAAAGAGGATTTTCTCCAGCCGCTAATCCATCAGCCTGGCGAGGCCTGGGAGTATGGGGTAAGTATGCCCCTTCCTTACCCATCATCGTCTGTCGCAACCCACGTAGTATCGCATCATCAAACACATTTGAATACAGTTTGTGCATCTAATAATGGAAATGCAACCTTTTATAGATCGGGGTGGATTGGGCCGGGTTCCTCCTCGAGCGAGTTACCGGTCAGACCTTGCACGAGTATATGCAACAGCACATCTTCCAACCTCTCAGGTTAATTCACATTTCAATGGTCCCCAATGAAGCGAATCAGGCCAAAATGGCCTGCATGCATCAGCAAGATAGCAATGGCCAGCTATATGTTCGGAAGGAGCACCCCTTTCAACGCTCACTTGCCATCGGTCAGAATCCCAATGACAGCCCATCATCCTTTTGCTTCAGTGGCGGAGCGGGATGTTTTTCAACGGCACATGATTACTGTCGTAAGGAGACCCTTCTGCCCCTAAATGCCTAATGTGCCGGGTACACCCGGAAAAAGAACAGAGCTCACACAGAATGTCTTCCAGGAATCTTATCGACCCTCCTCAATAGCGGCACCTGTCCTCTAACCGGAACACAGCTACTTTCCAGGGAGACTGTGGACGAGATGTTCCGCAACCAGATCCCTCATCTGGCCCCGCTCAATAGAAAGCATATGCCGGCTGCGAAGCCCGAGCTCACGACGGCTGCGACTGGGTTACAGCCAACAGTCGATGGAGATCGCCAGGGGTGGGGGTCTGACTTTCCTCCTGAGTGGAGGTGATACAGGTCGCTCGATCGGGACAGCCCAGTGGACGGGACTGCCAAATCTCCGATGGTGGTGTGATCGGGAGAATGGGCTGGCCGGTATTTTTTGCGCCCAGATTCTACCGTTCGGCGATCTGAAGGCGTTTGCTCTGGCAGAGGAAATCGAGAGGCAGGTTTATGCAGGGTTAAGCGAGGCTCGGAGGGGAAGACCTTGCTAGTATGTTGAGGTAAAAAATAAAATCTCATGCAAAGTTTTCGAATACTTGATTACAACTAATGATATACTATAACGTAAGATTAGAACACTTTTTGGTTATCTGTAAGTAACAATGACTAATTTCGAAAGAATTACTTTGCAAAGTAGAATGCCTGCGTTTTGTGATATAGGTATTTTCCCTCTCTATTCCGTTGCTTGAAGCGCAGTGTTTAGTTGGACACGTGGTGGAGACTGGAGTCTTAGCCCAGGTTATATGCCTCCTATACGAACCACTTAACCTGTATTTGCCTAAGCCTAAGCCTAGATGTCGTAACTGGAATCTGACGAAGGTGTGTCCCTAAAGTCTTGAGCTGCATAAGTATTTTCCCTGAAACACAGTACATCTTATGCGCCACGAGGTCAAGTCAAAGTACCTTATACACTAGCGCCTCCTACATAGCTCTTGTGTAAGTGGGTGCACGATATCAGTTGCTTACTATGCATTACTGCCAAGACACTGTAATGTGACGATTTGACAGGTCATGTTGACGACTTTAGAAACACACCTCCGTACTCCTGCGTAACTATGAACTAGCATTGGAGCGTAGGCGCAAAACACAGTTCCCCGCTATCAACTCATGAACATGGTTCACCACACTCACTCCTCGTTCCCATCCTTATCTTATAGTTATCGTGAAAGCGATACCAGTATGGCGTTTGAGTTGCGGGTGCGGGAGAGGACTCTTCCCGTAGCTGACACACAGGCCAGTGGGGGACACGAGACTATTCTTAACCTTATTTCTAGGTGAGGATTGCAAGAAGTCAACTGAGACAACATCCCATCTTATGTTCCCTGAATACTAATATTGGCTAAGCCTGCATCTCAGCTCAGATTATAGTGACTTAAAGATTATTTGCAGGGATAGGATCTTCCGGGCTCATAAACTTCTTGTTTGTCCCAGATCGAAGTATTTCCACCGGGCTTGCTTTGCCGGGTTCAAGGTGAAACCAGATATAAGCAACATCTTGCACTGACACTGACAAGCTGCTGTGAATTTTAGGAAACCGTTCTGGAAGAGAAAAGCCCGATCTTGATTGAGAAGGTGCTAGAATATCTGTACACAGGCAATTATACTCTCGGATGCCGTACGAATAAAGCGCTGACCCCACTGAATGATAACGATGGAGAGCCAAGAATGAACACAAACCACACAAGACCGCCGTTCATATATTTCTCATCAAGGAGGCGTGCCAGAGTTAAGTATGCGGCAGAAATGGAGGAGCTCGCCAATGAAACCGCTGTAGCAGCTGTAGAAGATACAGGGGATGGATTTGTTGATGGGTTACAGGTGAATGAGAAAGCTCCAACTGAGAAAGGAGATATCGTGAAGCCAGCTGTCGATACATTAACTGACTGTCAACCATGGTACTTCCATGTACGCATGTATAGCGAAGCGGATTACTTCATGATTGACGATTTGAAAACCAAAGCAGAGGAACAATTTCTTGTGTGTCTGATGAATTGCTCCGAAAATGATTCGTTTTCGGAAATAATAGCGGAGCTCTATTCAAGACGAGCCGACTATGGAAAGCTACGGAAGCTGGCGCTCAAAGTGATAGTCGACAACTTGCCGACCTTCAGAAAGGGATTCAACCCGGTAATAAATTCAAAACTGATGCAATCGGTTCCTGATTTTGCTGTTGATCTATGTCTACCGACAATAGACAAGTACGTGGGTGAGCCGCACATGAAACCATATCCATTCCCTACGGGTTTTGAATACAAGGACGTCGACTACATGGTTCGTCCCGGGGCCCTGTAGTTAGATCTATCAGTTTAGTTATGGAACGCTCTACAAACTACGGTAGTACACCGAGTTGTCTGTTCTCCTATGTCTCATCTGCCATCATTGCACTAAATTGCGTGCCCGTCGGCCGATCACAGCTAGACCACTTGATAAGCGTTTTTATTGCTCAAGCTTTAGCAGAATGACGTTAGGTTCGGCCGCTGACATGGTCGAGGAAGCTTAGTACGTGTTTCACAATAAGTTTATCCGATAGTAAGGTGAATAAACTCACCGCCCGAGAATACATTGCGGATCTCATCATGTCAATCTTGTCTGCAAAGCGACTAGTCTCCGCCTCCCTACCACCCGTGCCTGAAGAAAACTCCCCGGTTCACCATGATCGATATGTAGATCAATGCTTAAATGGCCTTCGGGCAGTAGTAAAACATCGTTTCCGTTCACGCCAAAGAGCATGCTCGTCGAATAGGATTCGCTGCCGCGTCAGCCCTATCATTTATGTGTTCACATACCACCGTGTGGCACCACATGCGTGAGCTTGTACCTGGCCCTTAAACCAATCGGGAGAATTCGTTTCCTTCCTGCAAGATCAACCTGCTAAACCATAGGGAACCCTGGATGGGACCGCGAGATTACAGGAGCACGATATGCTTCACGAATTTTGAAATGGAAGGAATCTGGGAGGGCCGGCCTCCTTGGGTCGCCAGTGCAATGCTGAGGACACCCTGAGACAGGTATATAAACAGCGACTCACTACAACTGTTGACGGTATCAGACAGATAGATCATACAGACTCACTCGCAGTCGATTCCTCTCGTTTCCCTGACACTCGCTTTCACTATCATGAAATCCACTAAGCTGGCTGGCAGCATCGCTGCCGCCGCACTTGTCGCCGGCGCGCAGGCGAAGTCGCTTGCGGAAGTCTGCACCGTCTCGCACGTGCAGTCCTCCCTGCCTCTGGATGCCTTCACCGGTCTGGAGATCAAGACTAGCTCGGTGACCGCCAGCCCTGTCTACAACGTCTCCGTGAGCGATCAGACCTTCTACCCGGACGGCACCTTCGACTACTGCAACGTGACCTTCGCCTACTCGCACGCCGGCCGTGACGATTCGATCCTGCTTGACATCTGGCTGCCCGCCCCCGATGCCTACCAGAACCGGTGGTTGTCCACGGGAGGTGGTGGCTTTGCCATCAACTTGGAGGGGGACTTGATGCCCGCCGGTCTCCTCTACGGTGCCGCTGCCGGTATCACGGATGGAGGGTTCGGGGCCTTCACGACCGACCTGGACGCCGTATTCCCCAGCGCTAACGGCACGATCAACTGGGATGCGATCTATAACTTCGGCTACCAGTCACACCATGAGCTCAGCGTCATCGGCAAGGCCTTTACCGAGAATTTCTTCAACCCCACTGCGAGCAGTAGCAAGCTGTACTCCTACTACATGGGTTGTTCCGAGGGCGGCCGCGAGGGCTGGAGCCAGGTGCAACGGTTCCCCGAGGAGTGGGATGGTGCTATTATCGGAGCGCCGGCGATCCGCTACGGCCAGCAGCAGGTCAACCACCTCTTCCCCAACGTGGTTGAACAGACGCTGGGCTACTACCCCCCACCCTGTGAATTGGAGAAGATCATGAACCTGACGATCGCCGCTTGTGACGAGCTGGACGGCAGAAAGGACGGCGTCGTCGCGCGGACTGACCTCTGCCAGCTGCACTTCGACCTCAACTCTACCATCGGGGAGCCCTACTACTGCGCCGCCGAGACCACCAGCGAGAACCTGAAGAAGCGATCCGCCCACACCAAGCGCCTGACTGTCTCCAACACCACCCCGGCCCAGAACGGCACGGTGAGCGCCAAGGCCGCCGAGGCCGCCGCCACGATGCTCAAGGGTCTCCACACCCTAGATGGTAAGCGCGCCTACATCTGGTTCCAGATCACCTCCGCCTTCAGTGACGCCGAGACCCAGTACAACAGCGATACCGACAGCTATGAGCTCGACATCGACGCACTCAGCGGCGAGTGGGTCGCCCGTTTCCTGGAATTAGTCGAAGCCGATAACCTCTCGAGTCTAGATAATGTCACCTACGACACCCTCCGCGACTGGATGGAGCTGGGATGGCGCCGCTATGGTGATTCCCTGCAGACCACCTACCCCGATCTGAGCGCCTTTAAGGAGGCCGGTGGTAAGATTATTCACTACCACGGCGAGTCAGACCCCAGTATCCCGACCGGATCCTCAGTCCACTACCACGAGTCCGTCCGCAAGATCATGTATCCAGAGCTTACCTACAACCAAAGCACAGACGCCATGGCCAGCTTCTACCGCCTGTACCTCGTTCCCGGCGCCAGCCACTGCGCGACCAACGCCTACGAGCCCGGACCCTGGCCCCAGGATAACATGGCGGTGATGATCGACTGGGTCGAGAAGGGAGTGGTGCCTGTTACTTTGAACGCCACCTACCTCTCGGGCGCGGAGAAGGGCAGCAACGCCCAGATCTGCGCCTGGCCTCTCCGCCCCTTATGGAAGAACAATGGCACGGTCATGGAATGTGTGTACGACCAGGCCTCGATTGACACCTGGCAGTATGACTTCAACGCATACAGCCTGCCTCTTTACTAGACGGACTAGGGCCAGTAGGACTGCTCCGAGATTTGATATGCCATTCTGGAATGGAGTAGATCAAAGTTCTCTGCGGAATAGTCGGCCAAAAAAGGGGGAAGCAACGGCAAACGAAGTGAAAAGTTCGTGCGACCTGTCGTTGTAGTTATCATTCGATTCGATACTTACTTGTATTTATATGTTAATTCCAGTGATCCTGGTCGAAATCGACCACCACTCTCAAGTGTTTCTAGTAATTTTCAAAAGTGAATTAGTGAGCAATTAGTGAATGCGGGAGAGTACACAAGTGTTTTCACATACTGCCCACATCCAATGTCCCAGTACGTTTATCGGACGGGGCAGAGTCCGCCCGCAAAGACTTGCTCCGATACAAATGGTACCTACAGCGGAGTATTCCGCTCTATCTCTCATTACCCACATTTCCATCCAGGGTTATACACAGCTTGCTCGGACGTCAAGTCTTCTTCACTACTTTAAGAAATTTGGCAGCGCACACACACACACACACACCAACCCCGGTGTACGAGACAGCTGCAATAGCTAACTCCCACCGATTATGTGTACATTGAGAACTGCTGGCAGACGCTATACTGAGAAGGATGTTTCTGTTAAGTAAAAGTAGTAGACTGGGTGGATGAAGACCCCCCGAGAGGTCAAGACTAATTGTATGTCCAGTAGTCCCTGGTTCCATGCTCGCAGTCGCTCAAATCAGTGTAATGTCATTAGACTGAAAGGCCTTGGTGTGACGAGTATGTCCAAGGCCGAAGACTGATAGACATGCTTACTTATGTTCCGGAAATATGGTTGGGAGCAGGCGGCCGATGACCCGACTTTGTAGAATTCGCTCCCGAGAGCAATGTCTTTTCTGACACAATGCCATAGGAGTGATAAGATACAGGCCTAATATCGTCTTTTCTGGCTATTTAGCTTTCATTGTTACTACCATCACTCTACTACTGACTGTCTTAGTCATACAATATAGCATTCAGTGTATCTAAACCCATCCGTCTCGAATTATTTTATTGGGCGTTGGCCGGTTGGTATAGCTGGTGTAAGTACGCTCTCAACATCTCTCTTGCTCGCCTACACCTTTCCAGATCCAACCCGTTAATCCAAGCTATCCGCCAGCCCCCCAATGGCTTCATAACGCTCCGAATTGGCGTATCCGCATCATACCGCATAGTGATGCTGCGGACCTCACACCGTCTCTCCATCTCTTCCAGCAAGTCATCCGAAACAGTAGCGCTTATCTGCGCATATATCTCTTCATCGAACAGGACCACACTATACCCTGTTTGGGGGCGCGTATATGGATCCTCCCACTCACCGGCGCTGTACAATGTCACGAGGGAGGAAAGAAATCCCATGCCGTACAGGTCAGGCCACTGAGGGGAAAACCGCAGATGGATTTCGATGATCCTGTGTCCAATTGTCTCCATATTCAACATTCCCGTGTAAGTCCTCAAGTGCATCTCGATGAAATTGGTAATAGTCTTCTGCAGCAATGGTGACGCGGGAACGTTGACTTCCCAGTAATCCCAAGTCTGCTGCGGACCGGGTATCCCACGCGTGTGGCTTAGCCAGACCACCCGACCTTGGGTTACTGCGATGTCCGTGCTGTGATGTTCGCCTCGCAGACACGCGGACCACATATGACCTGGCGTCAACGAGACCAAGTATTCCCTCGGGTTGGTAATGGGACGGGCTTCGGCCCCCATGCCGCCCAGGTTGTAGATCGGCTTACTGAAGACGGGGTAGAGGTCCAGCGGCGGCTGCGTGCCATGAGGGCCGCAGGGGATGCCCTGCAATTCGGCAACAGTGAGTTTGTTGTAGACCCACCGAAACTCGGAAGAACGGTCGTATGCTGTGGAGTCCCCACAAGGGATGACGCATTCGGTCGCAGGAGCAGCCTTGAACAGGCGTTGGCTTCTGCGATGGCAGAGTAAAGGCATGGTGCCGTATACGATTGCCCAGAACACTTTCCTGCGGTGTCTGAACCTACCGGAGACTCTTATCGCTGGGGTATATATATATCTGGTACGTCCTCTTGTTTGGGCTCCGCAGTACTACCGAATCATCTGCCTTCAGTGGAGTAAACGATTAGCTCAGCATGATTCAAGATGACTTTTCAAACCATGCGGGCACTGCATCCTGTTGGTCGCATCAGATTGGGTTCGCGGGGATTTCTCATGCCTACTCCGTCCTGGTCTGGAGGTATAGTCTCATAAACTTCCTTTCCATCAGCCCGTAGAAGGTTCTTGTGGTGCAGCCATGATGGATAGTTTCAGAAAGCTTCCAACCTCAACGCCAATCTATGACTCTTCATTTGCGTATCCCACACCCAACAATATTTGTGTCGCGGTGCAATTCAGTTCATCCCATACCATAACACAAACTCTTCCCTCTGACTCTGTATTTCGTTAAACAGAAGAATCAGAATCTCAATATACACATATATTCAACTACATAAAGTCTACTTTATAGTATGCCCGAAATAACATCTCAGGTCGAAAAAGAAGTCATAACTCTTGCTTTCTAGGGGCGCTCGCAAGGAGCGGTTGAGGTCATTGAGCATTCAAGGTCATGTGACCTCTGCTATGAGTGGGTATTTGCAGTTAAATAAGCTTGGGCACCCAGAAACTAGTATGACGGAATCAGAACAGAGCTGGAAAAACAGTTCAGTCAGAGTCTAATCCAGTCTGTATCCTTGTCAGCATCTGGCTCTTATCAGATTTCTCGGTTTGTAGTGCTGTGACTCAGTATATATTATTTTAAGCTTATTTCTTTATTATAATTTTCTTTTTATTTTATATTTTCTTCTGGTTAATAACTCCCAGAGTCATTATAAATAATACTTCTTTATTTAAAAAAAGAATGTAACTTATATAATAAATAATTATTCTAGAGATTATCAACCGGAAGAAAAAGCAGAATTTATAAAAAATTATTATAAAAATGTAAGCCAGAAATAATATATACTAAGTTATAGTACCACTAACCAAGAATTCTAATGAAGAGCCAGATGGTGACAAGAATACAGACTCTAATCATAGAGGCTGCTTGTTTCAACAAAAATAGTAATAAAAAGATATAATATGTAATGACTCTAGTAACTTATAATTTAAAGTAAAAATAATATAATAAAAAATTATTATAAAAAAATAAATCAGAAGTAGTTCATACTGAGTTATAGTATCATATTTTGGAGAATCTAACAAAGAGCCAGATATTGATAAGAATACAGATTTTAATAGTAAGGGCTGCTTACTTTGAGAATTCTTATAGCTACTTGATTGACTGAGTCTGGTTTCTGGATATGTTAGTGTTACACTGACATACCAAGCAGCTGTGCTCAAGGAGTAATTGGAAATATGCTTTAGCTGAGATATATAGAGCCAATACTGCTACTATTCAATAGGTAAAACAATACCCCGTTTTTAGCGCATTTACTGTCAGAACACACGACCTATTCAGGGGTTCTGCTAGGCTTGATTACACCGTAGTAGGTGCATAGTTCACATTATACCCATACCGATATTTCTGTTCTCTCTTACAGATTAAGTGATCGTACCATAAAAGGGTTTCAATATAGAAGGGTATGGTTAATACCAGTAAGGTACATCAAACACACTGTTTGCAGTTAGCCCTTGGATTATATCGAGCATTGCGTGTTCCACACTTTGTGAGTACATTCAGTGATGATCCAGACCTGGCATTATTGGGCCGATGACTTGATCACTTATAGAAATACTATGCAATGACGCGTTGTGCGCCGTTCATATTGTGTAGCATACGAGCTTTCTAACAGGTTTGATAATTGAGGTTGGTAGCTTTTGCACCATCTTTCCGCTTTCATCTATCTAACATACCAACACCATGGTTTGATTACGATATCCATTGAAATTACAAGCAGGCATGTGATCCATATGATTTCGTATATAGTTAGTAGTTCAGTTATTCATCCTTCTTGACTGGAAATTTAGATCGGGTTACCTACAAGGATCGCAGACACAGTCTGTAAGATTGTCTGAGTCACGGCGTACCAAGGGAAACATAGTAGTAAACCGAGATCCCTCGTAAAAGGACTATGGAGATGCTGCAAGTAACAGTCTAGAACAAAACCTGAGGCTTTGCGAATCTCGTAAATTGAGTTTAGTTTCAAATTCAGTGTAAAACTAACAACGGTGATTGGATTAAGTAATATTGAGTTTTTAGGACACGGAACCATCATCAGACTAGTTAAATGAGTAGGGTTTGAGTATATAAGAGCCGGAACCCAGTAATTTAATAAGCACGTCACTTTTATTATTCTCACCTGTTCAGAACTCAATCCAACCTTTAAACTAGAGAATGAATCGATCTGGATAATGATAATAAATTCTTGTAGACCTACCATCTCAATACGAATCTCAATGACGCATATCTTAGGTATGGTTTTATGCATGCTTTCCTGGGCCCATCGATTTGATCTAGATCCCTCTTTCATTTGACATATAAATGAATCTCAGCTTCGCATATGATTAGTTGCCATATATATTAAGCATGTAAATCAGGTTTCGTGATTGGACTGCTTTCCCCTATCATTTAAATCAATCTGGAGTTCTACCATATCAGTATTCAAAAAGCTTTATGTCTATGATATCTGATGATCATTTCTCTAGCCCAAATTCAATTAGATCTATTTTATATTTCAGAGGACAGACACTTGGGTGCAGCTCTTGACTACTGCCTGCCCCATCACCTGATATCTCTGCTTTTACGTCTTCAATTTATTAGTCCATAACTTGTACTATCAGAAAATGGGAATTTTGGAGAGTATCATCAGCTCCGCCGCGGATAAATTTCAAGGTGCAGATGAACGATCTGTACGCAGATTAATTGGAACAATTCTCGAGCGCATTAAGCGTTCTCCCGACCTCATAAATCCTCATTTACTGCTGGAAACTGTCATATCTCTGACAAAGTATGTCCTCGCCGCTGTATTTGGACCGGTCGGAAGTGTCTCAAGCATACGAGAGGCTGTGTTCAAGAATGAGATCAATGCAACGACCCTGATTCTGGTCAGAGACCAGGCCGCTGAAGTCGCGAAGTTTGTATTGGACCTCGTGGAGGCTTCAAAATGCTACTACATGACGAATGGCCAAAATGATCTGGAGGATGAGCATGTGCTGTATGCCGAATTCAATGAACTTGACTTCTCCGTGCGCAGGAACCAACATGCTGCAATATGTCAAATCCAAAGATTGACGAAATCAGTCATCTACATCCTGCAGAATCTGTTCAAGCCGGTAAATTTCGGAGATATCCACATGAGTGAAGAAACCAAACTTCAGAGCGACCTGGGATCAGGGCTCCCGGTGCCCCACAAAACAACACCATCAGCTGAGCCAGTAAGCAATAGGGTGGTGGAAAGTAATAGGAGCGGGAAAAAGACCAGTCCAAAGGGTGATGTGAAAGTCAGCGAAAGAGGCGAGAAATGGCTCTTCGTTAATGGAATTGGCGGGGAGATATTCTGGCTGCAGCTTGCCTGCAATAAATTGAGAGCAATGTTCTCAAGGGAGATCAACTGGGTTTTCAACAGGGGCGATGGTCTCCTCTGGGATCTCATCGAGTGCGCAGGGCAAAGAAACTCATACGTGCAGAATCCTAATACAGATAGCACAACGACGAGCATAGATGTGGATGGTGTTGTAGGAGGGCAAGGAAACCTTATTGACAGCACAGCCAGCAGCAAAGAAGCTCAAGAGGCCCTCCACAAGGAGCTCTTAAAGGCACTCCGCGAAGCTCATGAGAAACAATATGTTATTATGATCGCTCATTCTCAAGGATGTCTTATCCTCCGTCGTGTTCTGGAAGGCTTGGTAACTGCTGCAACAAAGAACTCCACCATTCGAAAGAAACTACAAGAGCAACTTTGCGTTTTTACCTTTGGAAATCCAAGCATGCACTGGAAAACCCAAGGGAAACATCCTAGTGTGCCATCTGGTATTGATGGGACGAACCTTAGCTCACATATCCTCCGAACCGAACATTTCGCTAACCGGCGAGACTTTGTAGCACGGCTCGGCGTTCTGAGTGAAGATTCCGAGTATGGGTCAGATGAGATATTTATCAATGAAAGAGAGGACTGGATTGGCCATCTTTTCGGTACACAGTACAGTTTCAACTCTGACCACTACCAAAATTCACACCATCAACATTCCTGGCTTTTGGGCTGTCGCTTTGGGAGAAGTCTTGATGAGGCTAGAGGTAAGCTCAAACATCTTTTACCTGTTTCACCTTCCCCTTTAAAAGAATCACACTTAATACTCTGGTAGCGAGGCCGATCACACAATAATGAGGCTCCCGAGGTGTGCTGGGCCGCTGGAATAATGTTCTTTTGGCACACGATTCTTTGATTGGAATGATTAAACTACCCGAAAAAAAAATATACAAACAAATAAAATAGAACAAAATATAGTTACTATAATTGCGAGTGCCTACATCACGATTGAGTAATTCTGGGTAGATATATAAAAGTTGGTGTATTAAGCAAGTAAGAGTATGTTGGAATACCTGCTTGACTCCAGAAAATAGACGGAAAGGCAGGTGTAATCGGCTGCAGGGCTGGTTATTTTTGGTGTCGAATTCACAGGTCCTCATAGTAATGTGCAGCCGCTAACTCATTGTAGGAGTCAGAGACGCTCGTACAGCCCATAGACAGTATTAAAGATAATCTGTGCACGGATACACTTGTATGCAGCCTTGATGAACAACATTTCCAGTATAACTATATATCTCAACGAGTAGCAAGTTTCCACCTATCGGTCTATGATTGCACATTTGCATATGCAATTAACTTTATCACATACCAGCATCACAGAAGCAGAAGTCATCCACTACTGCCTCACACAACTCACTTTATTCTCCAACCCACCCTCAAGAATCCCCACACCAAACAACATAGTACCAGCCATCCCACCACAATTCCCCAATAGTGCTTACCCACCTACCTTCCTATATAAATCCTGTCAGAACAATGAAACCTGAACAAACCAGTAACCAAGAGAGAGATTTCTCTTTTGGTCTACTCGGTAAATGTTTCAACAAATCCCCGTCCATCCCTCCTTACCCACTCAACGAATGAATTACATACACCCCAACTCAAACCAAACCGGCATCTCCAACGGCCCCGGACTCTCCACATCCGCAACAGTACACTCCTCCGTCACCGGCTGTCTAAACAACAAATCACTCTCATCTCCACAATCCGAGCCGGAGCTATTATACATCTCAAACATAAGTGTCGAGTCACTGCCATTACAGGTATACGCGGCGTCAATATTGAACATCTGGAATGAGCCCGCGTAGTCATAGTATCCGCCGTTGCAGTCGCCCAGGGAGGGGTAGACCAGCGAGAAGGAGATGTCGGTGCAGTTGGTGTCTTTATAGACGAAGAGGGCGGGGTATTTGTAGAAGTAGGCCGTGGTTGGGGGGGTAAGGAGGAGGAGAGTGGTGGTTATGGTGGAGAGGGAGAGCTGGGGTGGTGAGAGGTTATTGTTATTGTTGTTAGATTTGAGGGATGGTGTTGGAGGGG